TACTTTGTCAATATTAAATTTATGAAATAAGATTTTATCTTCATAATATTTTAATTGTTTTAATTTATTCAAAATAATCAAAATAAAAAATTTTGAATTATGGTATTCTCAAATAACTTCAAAGTTCTTTACTTTAAATTAATTGAAAAATTGCAAAATTTAATAACATTAAATTATCATTCATTAATTCGTTTAGAGCAATCCACATAAAACTATTATTTTGGATCATTTTTCTTTACTTTATATACTCGATTAGTAAATCCCCTTGGAGATTAATTATTTGAGACATCTTACCAAAATCGCTCTTTTTATTATAATTATTGCTTAAATTTTAACTATCTTAAATGATAATTAAAATTGAATTGAATATTTGGTACATGTTAAATAGGTGAATTTAATCTTTAAATTGATAACTGATTACTTTTGGTTACTTTATCTAGGATTTCTAAATTTTAACTTAATTCTTATGGAACAAGTAATTTTTCTCTTTTAGTTCTTTAAGAACTATGAAAAGTGCGCTTTGATCTATTTGTAGAAAGTTAATAAAATGTTTGAGTTTAATTTAAAGAATTTAAAGCAAATTGAAAATTTTAAACTTTTTTGATTTAAGTTTACATTTAAGATCTATTGTATTAATGTCTAAGTAGATGACAATCTAAAAGAGATTTAGCACTTTTAAGAATATTCACCTTTTGTCCATTAACTGAAAATTCATAATTCATAAATTTATATAAATAATCATTAATTAATTTTTTGTAATTCTATGTAACATTAAGAAAATCTTTTCAAAGCTAGATAGTATAATTTTGCTTTAATAAGAAATATAAAATTATGGACATACTGGGTTACTTAGGCATAAGTGAATTCTTTTTATTCAAAATAGTCTTATCTTATTTCATATTTATTGATAATGACTTTCCTTGTTGTTTAAAATAATTAATATTAATAAACAGCTGGATTCTTTTTCGTTCTAATAACTTATGTGCATACAAAACCATCACCTGATCTTTATTTATTTTCCTTAGATAATTAATCATCACATTCAGAAATAATATGTTATTGTATTTCTGGTAGCATATTAATCTAAATTAAAGATAATCTAGCTAGATTTAAATAATTTTAGGTTTTTATCTTTTGAGTTAAATAATGACACATTTCAATAATATCACTTAGATTTATTTTACTATTCATATAATTTGATTATGATTTATATAAACCATCAGTAACTAATTAATTCATTATTTCTCTTAAATTTATTCTGATATCTTTATATTGATAATTAGCCAAACAATAATATCTCAAATAGATATTATAACTTGAAGATGCTGAATATAAAATAGGTTTTGCAGGTTCAAATAAATCAATCCCTTTCGATTTTGTTTTTCTTTCTAAAAAATATTCAATATATCCTCTACTTCCATTATCACTTCTAAATTATTTAGTGCAAAGATATTCTAAAATAGAAATCTCATTTAAATTACACTTTATTACAAAAGGTGTCTTGCCAAAATTTAAATTTTAAGTCATGTATATGTCTTATTCTAATATCATGTCTCTATACATATTTCTACATTCTGATTATACTTTATAATTATATCTGATGTTTTCATCTGTTTATTTTTTTTCTAAATATTCTTTTCCAATTATTCGATATTTCTTATTTGATTCATTATCAAATAATTCAACTAATCTATCAAATAAGCTAATATAACTTTTAAGTTATCTTTTTTCTTTACGAACTGATAATTAAAATACTTATTATTACATTAATTTCCAAAACATTATTTCAATTAAATATCGTTTATCATTTTTTCTATCTCCTTTATTTAATAATCTTGTAAATTCAATAATTTAAAATACTTTTTGACACATATCTTCATTTTTTTCTATTGCTTAATTTATAACTTTAGTTTTAATATTAATTTAAGAGGCTTATGCAACGAATCCTTATCTTCTTTTTGATTTTCCTGTTGTAAAATTGAGCTATGATACATCAATAGATTGTCTCATAATATTTAATTTTGTCATCACTTAACTATTCATTTTTGAAGTTCTTCTATATTTAAGAGATCCTCTTTATATTTCATCAACTTGAATAACAATATCATTGAAGGTAAGATATTCAGTAATATTAAATAATTGAAATATTATCCCTAAACTAAAGTCCATTTCTTAAATCTGTATTAAATTAATATTTGTCATTAATCTTTTCTTACTCTTTGGAAAATAATAGGTAATTTAAACAAGATCTAAAACTGTATGAGCTTATATTGTAATTATTACAAATTCAATTTTGATTAATTTATAATTTTTAAATTGAAGAAACAAACATTCATTTAATACTGTTATTTAATTATTTTATTTTACGATATAAAACTTCTCTATATAATGTGCTATTACTCTAAATATTTTATATCTTTAACTCAAAAACTATTTAGCTTAACTATAATCATAAGAATGAACTCGTTAATATTCATTAAGAATACATTTTTATGATCGTTTTGCTATCCAAAATGAAGATAATTTAATATCTTATTATGTTTTAATTATTTACATAACTGAAAAAGGAGTTTTGTATAGAAATTTTTTGTCAAATTTTAAATTTACAACAAATTCCTAACACCATTAATAAATTAAACTTGGAGTGAAATAATTTGAAATTTCAAATCTTTATTCTATATCAAATTTATTGATTATAAGAATATATTTTTTTAACTTTGAATCAAACTCATGTATCTAGAGACTTATGAACAAATTTTCACCATCGAACTTATAAATTTATTCAAATCTTGTTGAGCAAAAGGAATCTTATTTTCCTAAATAAAACACTTTAACATTTGCATAACATTTTGCTTTATTTATTGTTTCAAAAGTAAATGTAAAGTCTAAACGATTTAAATAATTAATTAGTTCTTTTGAATCAGATAATAAATAAGCTTTTATTTTACTATAATTTGGTAGAGATGCTCTTAATTTACAAAAGAATTTCTCCATCCTGATTCTTAAAAAACAATTTTCTTTTAAAAGAGTTAAAAAAACTTTACTATATAGAGATAACTTTTAGTATAGCTTTTATTAAGAATACTTACAACTATTAATAAAAACTATTGATTCATTTGAATCTAATATTAAAGGTTTTCTCAATCTAGTTATATTTATCATTCTTACTCTTTGTTTAGACATAATTATAATTATAAATTTATCTCTGAGGCTAACAAAAACAAAATTTGGATGTTGGACTGTGTCATATCTTTTGACACCTTAAGACCAAAAAATTTATTTTTAGTCATAATTGTATTCTTAAGCTACTTCCAATTATTTTGAAGCATATTCTGGCTTTATTTCAATTTAATCAATCTATTAAAATTATTAATCAAAAATAGAATGATATTCGAAATATTTTGATTAGGTTGATTGAATTTCTTTTATTTTTCTTAAATCTTATTCTTCATGTGGATATATACTGAACTTTAAGTAAGTTTAAGTGGTATTATATAAGCTATGATGATCCATTTTCTCAATAAAATTTAAAGTTGTTGAAAGAATATGTTAATATTAAGCTTTTAAGGCTACCTATCTTGTTTTAAAATTCAAAGTTATCAAATTATTTAAGATTAAACTAATAATAACAGAATAATTTGCTCTTTCAAATATTAAATTTTTCAAAATCTAATTGATATCGAATCTATCAAAAATGGAACGATCAATTGTTTCTTTAGCTGCTAGAGCTAATTTCTCGAAATGAAAAACACTTATAGTTAAAGGTTAAAAAATTCTTTCATTTCTTCTTCTAGATAAATTTGTCTAATAAAAAACTTAATCTGTATGTTATTTATCTTTTTCAAATAATAATGCTTCAATTTATAATTAGAATTTAGAAGAATCAAATATCCATTCTAAATTTTGAGTATTAATTTAAAATAATTCTTCTACTTCATTCTTCGTTTCATATCTAGGTCTCATTCTATCAACATCTAATAACAATTTGTCAAGGATCACATTTCCAGTATAGCATATATGTATGCTTAATTAACAAATTTTACTCACCTATCCTAATAATGCATCATTTGATTAAATTAAAATTTCATTAATATCTAAAAAACTAGATTATATAAAAATCTTTTTAATTTTTTAATGATTTATTTTTGTTATCAATTAATCATAAAAAAATTCACTACAATTATGTACGAATCTAAATTACAATATTGAATTTAAGATTTAAGAATTATTTTAAATATAATTAATATATTCTTAAGAAAGATTTTAACTATCTTAATTTAATTTTCTTTTATTTTCTAATATTTTTTATTCTTTAACAAGTATATCAATAAGAATTAATCTAATTAATGGTAAATTAATGATGTATTATTTTATTAAATCTTAATCAATAGTTTCTGATAATTAAGGTAATAGATCATAAGTAGTTCCAATCTTTTTTTTAATTTTAACAATTTAATTATTTTGTAAATAATTAATAATTTTTTAAGTTTCAACAATTGATTAGACATCAAGATCAGTGAGTTTTCTTCTTGATTTAAGGGAAAGTCCTTAAATAAAAGATGTTTTATAAACTTTTGCTGATGGAAGAGCTTCCTTATTCAATAATGCCAATTATCCTTTTTATCTTAAATAAATTATAAGATAATCTTTTACTGTAGGCCAAACAGTAGTACAATTTTTATTAACTTCAAAATCTGGCATAGTAACAAGTGGAATATCTAATCGAAAATGATATTATTAACGACCTTCTCCTTTAAAGAATAAGGCAATACAACTTTTATCATAAGTTACATCGTAATACGAAACTGACCATACAACAATATTTCTATAAAAAACAGAAATATATCTAAAACTAGGATAATATAATGTTTAAATATGTTTAACCCAATCATCACAAGTCTTGGATGGAATTTTTAATCCTGGATGTCTACAAAAATTCTTAAATTTATTTTAAGCCTTCCAAAGCATTCCAAAAACTCCAAGATTTTCTTTTTTATCATCAATCTAAATCTTTTCTTTTTCTTTCTCTTCTTACTCTTTTTTCTCTTATTATAATTGAAATACTGGAACATTTTCACTCATAAATATAATATCTCCAAGTCTTCTTTTAAATGCTTTTACTTTTGTTGATTTTCTTACTTTATCAATAGTTTTAGAAGCAGCTATAGATTTTTTGTTGAATTTAAACACTTTCATTCTAAAGCACATCTATATAAATCTTACTCTTTTTAAAACTTTTTCTGAAAAGATATCTTCAGCTCTTAATTCCCTACTAGATTTTTTTTAAAATATTATTTTTGATGCTTTCCTTCTTTATGAAAGTCCTTCATTTAATCTTTTTTAAATTTCTCTAACTTAAACAACTTTAATAGCATTGCTTAAAACATCATCTTGATGTAAAACATTCTAAATATATTTCATAGAGGGACTTGAAGTTAAAGCTAAAAGTCTTTCTTCAATTTTTCTATAATTAATTAAACTTAAATAATGTTTTGATACCAATCTTGCTAATTTAGGAGAAGTTATTTTTGAGTGAAGACGTTAAAACATCAATGCTGTTATTATAGTTGATATTTTAAATGTTGTGTCTGTTTATTTTTCTTTTATTTTTGTTGTCTAAATCATTTATACAGAATCTTCATGAATTTATTCTATTTATATTTTATCTTTTGATTTTTCTATTATATTAAGACTAACTTTTAATAATTTATATTTTGAAGGATTAGATTTTTTTGATAAAATTGATGTTAATGAATTAATTTTAGGAGTAGATTCCCGTTATTCATTTTATTTTTCTTTTTCTCTTTTCTCCATTTCAATTTGTTTCATTAACTAAATTTTTTTTTATTTTTCTTATTTTCTTAATTCATCTTCTTAATTCATTTATTAGATTATTCTATATACTTTAGCAGGCTTTATTTCAGCTTTAGCTTTCTTAATAAAAGTTGAGGCCGTTCTTTATCGTACTGTTTCAACTAATTGGGTTCTTAATAGCAAACCTTCAATTTGAGATTATGTACGTATATGTTACTTTTTTAATTCATTAACATCAAAATCACGGCTACTAAAGAAATTATTTTCTTGAATAGTTTTTGGTGTAGTTTATTAGGATAATATTTTGAAAGAATTATTGTTTATTGAAACATTTGGTGTTTTAACTTGAATTCCGCTATTAGGAAGCGTAGTGATTGATATTTAAAGATTTTGCAATTTTTTAAGATAGTTTGACCTTGTTAGTTCTGCTTTCCCTTTATTAAAATAAGGCTTCATTAATTGAATACTTATCGTAAAATTAGGTATTTTAATAATCAGAAATTTATACACAAAAAAGTTCAATTTTAATACAATATCATCATAACCTATAATTATATTTTAAAGCTTACTATTATATTATTTGAAATCATACACTTTATACTTAGTTTTGCTAAATAAAAATTATTTCATACATAATAATAATCTAATATTGATGTTTCTGATATTAAAATAAGAAGTCATTCCTAATTTAACTTATTTGTTTAAAATTAAATAAGTTATCATCTTTATATTATAAAAAATCAATATAATCAATATTCTTAATCATACATTTTTATTATATAAAGATGTAATTTATATAATAAGAAGACCTTGACCTAATCGATAAATATTTAAAAGAAAATTCAGAAATTAATTTTGTGTTTGCATAACATTAAATCGAAAATTCAAGGGAATTATTGATATTTTCTCTTAAAATATTTAAAGTTCTATAAAAATCCATTTTCAACTAGATTTTGGAATAAGCCTAAAACATTATAAATACTAAGAGACCATAACAATGAAAGTTTATTTCATATGCAATAGATTGAATAATTTTTACAAATTGAGATATATAATAAAAAAAATATGAATAAAGAATACATAACATTTTTAATAATTGAACTCATACACAAAAATATGGTTCTCTTTATTATTTTCATAATTTTCTCCTAAACAAACTTTTTAATAACCAAATATATTATTTTGTTCTGATCAAAAAATTTTTATATTGCTTGATAGAAATTTTGGCTATTGTTTTAGCTATGAACGAATTGTATCTTCTTCTGTTAGTTACCTTGTAAATATTACTATTTAGAATTATATTTAAAAGCAACATAAAAAAGTCACTATAAATAAAATTAATAATTATTATGGATTATATTATCCAAAAAATAGAACAAGTTTAGATAATTTCTTCATAAAAAATTAAAGATTAGATAGAGTATAAGTTACAATTCTTTGTGTTGAAATTTTAAAGCCTAATAAGCAATCTCAATTCTAATAAATTGAAAGAGAGTCCGGATTAAATTTTTGATAAAATAATTATTCACATACATATATATATCTTTATTTATTTTTATAAAGATGAAAGCTAGGATTTGTAGCAATTTCTTCTATATTGTATCAAAAATACACAAGTTAATGGGCAAATAACTTAAAAGTAGTACCTATACCTTATCTTATCAAATGATTATAGGATGATTCCTCAAAATCCAATTTGACTAGTAAGTTTTTATGTTTATTCTAATATTCGATGAACTTTATTATAACAAAGTTCGAAATAAACTAGTATTAGTAGGAGAGACAATTTAGTTGCTGTTATGACTATTAAAACAAGAAAGTGACAGAAAGTATTATGCTTGCTTATCAGGCCTTATTTTTATATATAAAATAATTTATACCATGTTCTTAGTATAATTATATGTTTCTTGCATTTATTTATTTTAAATAAAATGCTTCATCTTATTGTTTAAAAATGATGTTTAAATTCATATATTAAAAAAGAGTTCAATCATAATTGAGGTTCTTTATTATCAAAATCATAAGTTATGATAATATTTTGAAATTATTTTCTACAACTATAAATTTAAGTTGGAAAACATAAACCTTTATATGATACAAACTTTAGATATTTATAAAGTTAAATTTAATTAAACATAGATGTAAGATTGATTAAATATTAGTCAATGCCAACATCGAATTTAATCATTTGATGTTTCAAATGATATAAGTGTAGCCAAATAAATTGTAATTGATGCATATACTATTTATTCTAATGTTCTGAAATGATTTTAATTAATCTTTGATACAATAATATTTTAATGAATTTAATGAAAGCCGAAAATCACCAACTTATTCAAAATCCAACCTTACCCACAATTATGAATAATGAAGATTAAATTCAAGAAAGCAATTTATATTATGTTAACAGACCTTCTTAAGAAGCAATTATTTAAAATTTTACATAGAAATATAGAGATAATACTAAAAAGTAGATTCTAAACAAAAATCTCGATCCTGAAAATAAAAAAATGGCATTTTTTTAATAGTTATAAAAACTTCAATTATCTGAGGACAAACATAAAAAAACTGACTAATACTTTACATACTATAAAAAAGAACACTTATAAAAATCAGTTAATTCAAGTAAAGGTTAATATAAATGTACAAAAATGAAAATTTTTGAAAGAGATAGGATTAATAGTGAGAGAACCAATTAAACATATTAGTAATTAAGAGAATATAGTATAATTGATGATATTGTTTAAAATTAAGATATAATAGCTAAATAAAAAGGTTTATTAGAAAAAGTGTAAGATCTTAAGAAATTGAAATTATTAAAGTAATACAAATTCAATCAGTATTATAAAATAATAATCAATTTAGTTATTGCTTGCCAGGGGTTGGTAAATCTCCATATGTTTTTAATGATACTCATTCAAAGTGTACTAATCCTGGATATTCTAGAAATATTGAAGGAGGAAAGTTTTTTACAAGATGATTTATTTATGTAAAATCATAATTTATATTTATCGATTCATTTATTTATTGTTCATAAAATTTTAATCAATTATATAAGATAATTTGAGTTAGATTCTTACTTTCGAAATAAANAATTATATGTTTCTTGCATTTATTTATTTTAAATAAAATGCTTCATCTTATTGTTTAAAAATGATGTTTAAATTCATATATTAAAAAAGAGTTCAATCATAATTGAGGTTCTTTATTATCAAAATCATAAGTTATGATAATATTTTGAAATTATTTTCTACAACTATAAATTTAAGTTGGAAAACATAAACCTTTATATGATACAAACTTTAGATATTTATAAAGTTAAATTTAATTAAACATAGATGTAAGATTGATTAAATATTAGTCAATGCCAACATCGAATTTAATCATTTGATGTTTCAAATGATATAAGTGTAGCCAAATAAATTGTAATTGATGCATATACTATTTATTCTAATGTTCTGAAATGATTTTAATTAATCTTTGATACAATAATATTTTAATGAATTTAATGAAAGCCGAAAATCACCAACTTATTCAAAATCCAACCTTACCCACAATTATGAATAATGAAGATTAAATTCAAGAAAGCAATTTATATTATGTTAACAGACCTTCTTAAGAAGCAATTATTTAAAATTTTACATAGAAATATAGAGATAATACTAAAAAGTAGATTCTAAACAAAAATCTCGATCCTGAAAATAAAAAAATGGCATTTTTTTAATAGTTATAAAAACTTCAATTATCTGAGGACAAACATAAAAAAACTGACTAATACTTTACATACTATAAAAAAGAACACTTATAAAAATCAGTTAATTCAAGTAAAGGTTAATATAAATGTACAAAAATGAAAATTTTTGAAAGAGATAGGATTAATAGTGAGAGAACCAATTAAACATATTAGTAATTAAGAGAATATAGTATAATTGATGATATTGTTTAAAATTAAGATATAATAGCTAAATAAAAAGGTTTATTAGAAAAAGTGTAAGATCTTAAGAAATTGAAATTATTAAAGTAATACAAATTCAATCAGTATTATAAAATAATAATCAATTTAGTTATTGCTTGCCAGGGGTTGGTAAATCTCCATATGTTTTTAATGATACTCATTCAAAGTGTACTAATCCTGGATATTCTAGAAATATTGAAGGAGGAAAGTTTTTTACAAGATGATTTATTTATGTAAAATCATAATTTATATTTATCGATTCATTTATTTATTGTTCATAAAATTTTAATCAATTATATAAGATAATTTGAGTTAGATTCTTACTTTCGAAATAAATCATATTAATATTTTATAAATTTAACTAGACATGGAATCTAAATCAAATTACAACAATCCATAAACTTAGTTAGACAATGAAGGATCATTCATTGATAAAATAATATTAGAAATTAAATAGCTAATATTCAAAATTGTAACAGAGATGTTAAAAATTGAATCTCAATCAGTTGTATTTTAGCTACTGATGAGACTCATATAATATATGTAATTGAATGCTATATTATTTAATCGATAAATCTGGAAAATATGGTAAGTAACATATGTGTCATAACCATTGCATACTTTTTTCAAGTATTTATATTGTTGATATTAGTTACTTTATGATTACACCCTATTTTAATGAAGACAGTTTCTAGTATTTTGTAGTAATCATGTATGTTTGCTTATCATTATTCTTGATAACACTCATGCTTATCTGCTTAATTGGTTTTTATTCAAATAAATAAAACCAAAGTTTTACATGGGCTATGACAATTCTTTAAATCCTTATTGGATTTTTTTTATCAATATTATTTCTACCTTTTGTTGATGTTTTCTTAGCTACGATAGCTTGTTATGATGATAGTAAAGGTTAATTTTAACATTATTTGTTTGATATATAATGCTGGGCAAATGTACATATAGTACATGGAATTGTTGCTATTATTGCTTTGATAATTTTTAGTTTAACCACATTGTTATTTTCAATGATTTATTATGAAATAAACTATTTACCATAAAAATTGAATTCAAAAAAATAAAGTATGTCAACAACGTTCTTATTATTATATGAATTGGTTATGGTAATATGTTACACTTTTATGAATGATAAAATATATGAATATGTTCATATTTTAATAATGTTAATTGGTAGTTTTTTATTATTTTGGATTTTTCATGTTGAAAGACCTTATAATAATCACTTAATTTAGAAATCATATTCAATATTAGTAACATTTCATTTATGGGGAGTTTCTATGCTTTGTTTTGCAAAATATTTAGAAGGTGTATTATTTTTTGGAGTTATATTTTCTTGGATAGGAGGGTTACCTTTAATTATAATAACTCTTATTCGACCTTAGCATGAATAATATGATATTCTAATGACTAATTTAGCTACTTGTTAATAACCTGAATAAATTTATAAATTGACTAATTTTTTATTGTAATTATAATAAGAAAGTTAAAATGATCCAACATAAGGATTAGTTATTGATGGATTCTTAGATTATCATAAAATAACTTGTATTAGAGATGATTGTCATTTAAAATTAAAAGGATTACCAAATTATAGAAGAAATAAAATTGGTCTTCATGAAAGTAATTTGTAAGAGAGAGATATAGATTTATCTATTGTATTATACTAAATTTATTTAAATTAAACAAAAAGGTTTTAAAATTCAATCAAATTGAGATTAAAATTTTGTGTATATATGTATGAAAAAATGAAATAAAAATAAAATGCTTTAATTGAACTTTAGGCTATTGAATAAATGTTTCCTAAATTTGATGAACAATTTATTATATATAGGTTTAAAAAAATCATAGAAGAAGAATTAAATTCTGGTGATGGATATGGTAATTTTGATATTGGAAATGAATTATAATTCTAAAATAATTATAAAACATTATAAAGATACATAGAGAGATCATCATTACTTCATATGGATTTTTGGTCATTATTGTAAGAAGATTATCCTGATTTAAGTAAATTAAATGACCTTGGATAAAAAATAAATAATTCCATAGTTCATATAGAAGATTTATGGAAGAAGATGTAAAAGTCTAGCATAAATTTAACAAAAGCACTTAGAATATATAGTAAATTCTAGATTGAAGTTTTATAAGATAAGGAATAAGGAGAATAATTACTAGAAAAATCTAGATTACTATAATAATAACTTAATTAAAATAGAAATAAAGCAACGACATAATTTATGAATGCAGAAGATATAGGATTAGAAGCTTTACCAACAATTGTTATAGCAACAACTGTTGATAAATTTTCTTAAATTATAAATCTTAATAAAGCTTGTTGTAATGTATTAGCTTATAATAAAGCAGAATTATTGAATAAAAAAGTTTCATAAATTATGCCAAATGTTTTCGCTAAGTTTCATGATAAATATGTTGAAAAATTTATGACTTTAAATGTTTCAAATCTATTTAATGTAGATAGATACATTTTTGTTAAATAAAAATATAATTATATTCTACCAAGTTTTTTAAATATTAGAATGCTTTCATCTTTTGATGATACTACATTTATTATAGGATAATTTAAATTAATTAAATAATTTAAACCAATATGTTATTTAATAACAGATAATGAAAAAATAATTGAATCCATATCTGCTTCATGTATTACTTTATTAGGTATTGATAATAAAATAATTACTCATAATAAAATCTATATGAATGATCTCTTTCCCTCATTCTAAGAGTAATTTAACTCATTTTTTACTAAATCAGGAGCATTAATTAAATATTAAAATTCTCTTTAATAAATTAAAAGTCCTTCTCACTAATAATTATCTGAATAGCAAACCGAAAAATAGAAATCAGATAAATCTTCATAAATTTATTAATGTAATGTATCCGAAATAAGAGATTTTGAAAAACAACTTGTAGGCTATACTATTAAATTAGAATTAATATAAAATGAAAAATCATATGGAACTTAATAAAATATGAGTTTATTAGGAGAAAAATAATAAACTGAATAATTAGTTTATAATTAATTGTAATTTAAATTCATCCCTAAACTTATGACATATTTAGCTGAACTTGGAAATGAGGCAAATTCTTAAAGAGTTGATTAATCTGTTAATTGGGATTAATAAGATCAAAGTTCTCAATTAACTTCAAATCTTGGAATAGAATATCAAAAACCTTTAACCGAAAAAAGTGATGAATTATAAATAATTTCACAATGTTTAAAATTGGATGATGGAATTAAAACTTTGAGATTATTTGAAAATAAAATTTAAGATATTGAAGATAAAGAAGATATCATCTCTGAAGATGAAGAATCAGGAAGATCAAGTGTTTTTCAAAAAATTGATAATGATTCAATTGAAGTGGGTGCCAATGATAATATGAATATTTTTAGATCAAAAACTAATTTACTCTAATTGATAAATATTCAATAAACTCCAAAAGTCATTAAGAAACTTAATTGGACTATGAATTTAGAAATGCTTTCAATTGTAACTTTATCATTTGTAGCTTTTTTTCTAACCAAATAATAATACAATAAAATAAGTGATTAATTATATCTTGTTTAATACGTAGGAATAAGAAATGCTGAATTTTTCAATTTAATAGCTGCCATCTAAAATTTACAAATGAAATAAATTGGTATTTGGACATTTACATCCGATAATGAGAGTACCTCATATGAAAAAGATTAAAGGACAAACATAAATAATACAATTAATACAATAAATGAAATTAATACAATTTTAACATTAAATAGTGAAAATGATAATGCATAACTAAAAGAATTATATACAAATAATGTTGTAAATATGAGAGTTAGTGAAGGAGTATTTTAAAAATATGATTTAGTTTAAGCAATGCAATAATTATTAAGTAAATCTCTAATTATAAGAGATAAATAGCTAGAATTTATGAATCCTAATGATGAAGATTTTATATTTTTGGTATATAATCTTTTTAATGATTTTGCAATTCATTTATAAAATTCAACTTAACAGTATAGCTTAGATTTAGCCTAAAAAACTGCTGATAATAGATAAGAATTAATTAGTATTTTAGGAACATCTTCAGGTATTTTAGGAGTATCATTATTATTGTTAATTTTCTTTTTAATTTAAATGGCTAGTGGATTACAAGAAATTTTAGTTCTTTTTTTAGATATTCCAGATAAAACTATAAAATTCTTGTATTCAAAATGTGAAAATTTCTTATCAAATATTTAAATAGGAGAAGATGATGAAATGTTATCAGATTTTGATGAACTTGAAAAAGAAGAAAGAGAGGAATTGAATAAAACTTTAAAATAAAGAAGAAAAAAGAAAAAGTACAAAAATTCTAATAAAGAATTGAGAAACCTAATTTTGGTTACTTTAACTCTTACAATATTATTTTAAAGCTATTTCATAATATTTTATTTTTTGAGTAGTTAAATGCTTACAAATTTGAATTAGATGGTATCTGAAATTAATTCAACATCATTTTGTGAAGGTTTTTATAAATTTGTTGAAGCAGCTGAAAGGCATGTATTTTTAAATAAAGATGTCCCAATAACAAATGTTGATTCATATTATCTACTTAAGTTTGGAATCGATGCACTATATTAGATAGATTCTTATTTTCATCAAGAACACTCTTTAAATATAGATGTACTTAATAGCATATATATAAATGCTTTTTAGGAAATTTTCATGCTTTCACCTTGCAAAATATTTTCTTAAGAAATGAAAACTGGAACTGAAGATGATTGTATATCTTTTGCTTCTGGGGCTATTGATTAAGGAATGGCTGTAGGATTAGCAAGATTTATAGAAAATATTAGATTTTTATTAACAATTTATGAATAATTTTAGGGTCATCCTGAAATTTCATTCTCTAATGCTGTAAGAGGAAATGTGCTATTTAAGAATATTACTTAGAATGATGATAATGTTACAAATTATATTTATAATTTAAATAATTTTAAACAAGCCAAAGAATTGAGAGTAATGTAAAGTACTTATTTAAAAGGTAAAAATAATAATTAATTTTAGCTACTTTTAGATATTTACTACTTAAATTAAAGGAAGGAATAAATTCAGATATGTCTAATTCTTAAACATAGTTATTAGCTTTGTTTATAATATTTGAAGCAATCTTGTTTATTCTATATTTTGTTTTTTGGCTCCCTTTAACAATTAAACTAATTAGAGATATTCAAAAAACAAGAATGATGGTTATGATGATACCATTGAAAATTATTCTAAAAATAAGATCTATAAAATTATACATAAAAGATGTAATTTTAGAAAAAACAATAGAAAAATGAATTTATAATTTTGTATATAAATTTAAAGAATTAACAAAATTTGAATATTTTCATTATAATCAATATTTGTTTAGAAATGATATTTTTAATTAATTACTTGGGATATCTTCTCTTAATTATGTTTACAATTTAATTGGATAAGAATTATCAGTATTTTTATCTAACTTTGCAATACTTTTTGTACTACTATTCAATGTACTTCTATATGAATTTTATGTTATTTAGTAAAATTGATCAATCGATTCTTCTATTCTTAATCTATAAGTTCGAGGTTCATAAATATTATTTTTTTTAATTGGGATAGGAATGTTAAATTTTGCTGGCTATTCTGATATATACAAATTTTTTATTTTATTTATTTTTTATGTAGAATGTATACTTATTCTTTTAGTGGATTATATAGTAGTTTACTATTTAGGTTTACTTGACGATAAGAGTTTCTAGATCTGCTATAATAGGAAAAAAGATAATTACAATAAACTTATACCTATTACAATTATTCACTGACTGTAGGAACTGAAATTGCAGGTTTCTATCTTTCTGTATTGGTTTTAAAAGTACGCGATATAATTTTATATTTTAGCACAGAAGGATCAATCTTTGGTGCTTTTTTGACTTCTAAATAAAGGAAATGATTAAATAGCAATACCTTCATTTTTCTGACCATAAAATTACCTACTTAATTATTTATAATAGTCATCTTCATTTGTATGTTAAAGAAGATTGTCACTAGGATTCAATATAAATGAATCTTCCTTTTCTAACATAAAACTAACAAATCCATCTTATTATTGATCTTATTATTTGAGCATTAATTAATTTATTTTATTAAACAATAAAATTATTATAATCAGAAACAGTTCTATCATTTAAAATGAATTCCTTGAGCATTCATTGCACAAAGCAATTAAAGAAAATCATCATTATCCATTTTGACTGGTCTTTTTTAAAACATGTCTGATGATTTCAATATTTCATTTATTTTTTATCTGAACGGATTTTAAGTAGTTTATTATTTCTCAGGTTATTAATTATCTTCTTCTTCATCTTCTTCTGAATCAGATTCATTATCTTTTTATTAATTTTATTTATCCTTTTTCTCTTTTTTATCATTTCTTCCTTTACCTTTACCCTATACATTCTCTTCTTCCATAATAGTTAAAACTAATTATTTAACATTTTTTGCAGGATCATTAATTTTGATACCTTCTTATTCTATGACATTAAAATTATGTTCTAAAGTTTTGAGAACAGATTTGTTTTTGAAAATGGCAGATAATTATTTATTCTTTCTATTAAAACAAATTCTTAATAAACCATCCCATTCAATATAATTAATATTAGGAATAGGATTTTTTGGTTCTATTCTTACAACTGATGATTCTACTTTAGGAGGAGGTTTAAAGTTATTTTTTCCAACTTTCATTAAATGATCTACTCTAGATAACATTTAAACATTTGCAGATAATCTACAATATAATTCATTTCCAGGTTTTGCAACTAATCTAAATGCAAATTCTTATTAAAACATTAAGACTGCACATCTCCATAGTGGTCTTTAAGCTAATAATTTAAAAACTAAAGGTGATGATATTTAATAAGGAACATTAGCAACACATAAATCAAAAAATGGTAATTCTGCTGTTAGAAAATCGCCTTATATTAATTTAAATTTATCTGAGTATTAGGAATATTTAAATCTTTTAGTCAATTCTATAATCATTCGAGGATCTATTTCTACACAAATTACTTATTTAGCCCTTTACAATAGCAATTCTGTTAAATTACCTGTTCCTGGTCCTATTTCTAATACTACGTCTGTTGGTCTTATTGCTGCTTTATCAACAATCATTTATAAAATCTATTAATTTATAAGGATGTGTTGGCCAAATGATTTGTTAAAAACCATATTTGATTTGCTTACTGTATTTTTCATCTGAATTAAAAATAAAACAAATTAAATTATTAAATTATTAATACAAAATACAAATACTTAAATAATTTGTAATATTTCTCATATACATAATACAAAATATATTATATAAAACTAATCCAATTATAATATTTATTTTTAAATAAAAGATTATCATATTTAATAATTTACAATAATAAATAACAATAATTTATTCACATATTAAATCCTATTAAATATTCATCCGAGAGAGAACCATCGCTAAGTTAAATATCAGCTCTTTCATTAGAAAAGGATCCAGGCCAATATTAATTAGCAGATTTATCTTAGTTTAATAATCCTATCTATTTGTATAACTTTGCAATTAATTATGAACAAAAATAAGTGGGATCTTCATTTTAATTTTATGATGTAATAATAGTAGATTTATCTTGTAATAGTTTTGTAAAACTTAAATTATATTATCTTCCAACGTTTTCTTTAACAAATTTTTCAATCTATTATAAAAAATTTTCATTTCTAATTAATTGAAGTTATCTATATACAACCCTATAAATATATAATAAAATTTATTACATTGAATATAATTCATACCATAAATTATTAACCATGGAATCCCAATTAAATATTCCAACTCCATTTTAATTAGTTGCTTCCAAAACATATATATAACCAGATTAATATTTTAATATCATAGCAACGTGATCTATTTTAATAATAAATAATACCATAATTTGATCTAGTTAATATTCTTTAAATTTTAGAGCTGCAAGACTTAGTTTGAAATAAAAGAATATCTCCAGTTTAACTCATTTATCTAAATTAATCATTAGTAATTAATCGTTTTTTATAATAATTATTAAATGGGTTCAGATAGAATTTCATTATTGGCTTCTTTCTATTATTTACTATGAATTTCTTGATCATAAAGAACCATTAATTGTTATTAATTCCTTTGAATTGAAAAATCTTATCATTATTGATACATTTTAATCCAAACTCAAGTATTTCAGAGTTTATAATTTATTTCTGGTAATATTAAAAATTAAAAAGAGCTAGATTGAGTACGAAACGAGCTTTTTATTTTGATTAATTTAAATAAAAACTTAAGATCCCATCCTAAAAATGACAATATATTTATTTAAATGGTTATAACAATTTTTTTGTTTTTTTTAAAATAAATCCTTCATGTTGAACAAAATTTTCATGTATAAACAAACCAGATTGCATAATGACTGATGTAATAGTTGCATTATTTTCAGTTCTATCTGAATTTAATCCTCTAAATTGATCATTTTATAAAATTGCACTTTTATCTTCTTATCCTTATAAAAAGGAAACTTAAGGCTATACATTTTGATATTAAAATAATCTTTGTTATTATGAATACTTGAAGCCAGACAGTAATTATAAAATTTCAGGAATTTAAGAGGAATCTTCAACCACTTTTGGAACTCTAACATGTGTTGTAATTATAGCAAATGATTCTGCTATATCTTAAGGAAGATCTTATTCTATAATTTCAGACTCATTGATATAATTCATTGTTATATATATATTATTATAAATATCTAAAGTAATGATAAACATTTTGATTATAAAAAATATAATGTTTGTAACGATTTCAATTTCTACTATAGAAACTTAATTAACCTTATTATGAACATACACCAATCAACGATCCATCTTTATTAAAACGAACAGCCCATAATTTATCATCTTTTTTATCAAATGGATTAAACTATTCAATACATTATCCAGATGTAGTATCCCATAATCTAACTTTATAATCAGATGAGCAACTAACTACTAATTTATCATCTATTGGATTAATATCAATTGAATTAACAGAATAATGATGTTAAAATGTTTTTATTTCTTTCATCTTTGTTAAATCAGTTAGTTTAATATCTCCATCATCTGAACTTGAAAAAGCTTTAAATCCATCATTACTAAATTTTACAGATCTCACCATTTTTTTATGAATTTTTTTTGAATGAAGTTTTCTCTTTTCAATTGGATCTTCAACAATATGCAATGAACCACTATCTGTTCCTACAGCAATATTAGCATTATTTGCAGTAATAGCTGAGGCAAATGAATTTTCAACTGAAAATACTGGAATTTCTTCTTAATTTTCATCCAAACCAAAAATTGACAATTTACCTCCTTCTCCTGCAGTACAAATATAATCTTTCAACCAACAAATATTCCAATTCTCCATCTAATCACAAACAATTTCTTTTGCTTTTATACTCTTTTTTAAATCCCAAATACGTATAACACTATCTAATGAACTTACTGCAAATAATTCTCCATTATTTGAGAATTTTACATCTACAATTCCTAAAAAATGTCCCTCTAATCTTTATGGCTCATTTTCTTTAGATACTTTATCTTTCCATAATGCTACTGTTTCATCCAATAAACCTGCAGCTGTATATTCTTGACTTATATCTAAAGAAGTTATAGATTCGCCTATAGTGTAAGTTGATGCCACAGAAACTTTTGACTATCATATAAACAATTCTTTACCATATTTAATCAAAAATATAAATAAATTAATAATACTATTAAAATTCATTTCATCATTATTTTAATGAATTTATCACATCCTAAATTTATTTTGAATATTTATCATAAAATTTATTAAATTTATTATGGATTTCTTGTTATTAATCACCACTCAGCTTTTTGAAATCTATTTATAAATATGGAAAAGGATTATTGATACATGGTTCTTTCCAAATCTAAAATGATAAAATAGAACTTAGAATTGCATGTTTTTCTAACATTTGATCATCATTTTCTGGTTTCTCTAATTTAGGATGTTAAAATTCTGCAAAATAACTATTATCTATTTCTTCAATAAAATTATTTTTTTAGTTTGAAATTGCAATTCTTAGAGGATCATAATGCAAAGCATCAACTACAACTGTGACTTCTTCCTCTTTTGTATTTTTTAAATAACGATTAATATTGAATAATAAGTAATATTCTATCCCTTTTTGTTTCCATAACATAGTTTAAAATTCGAACAAATAGTTTAAATTATTTTCACTAATACTTTTATTTTATATCTCTGCACAAATATCATTAAACATTTCTTAAATTTCAGATAAAGATAAGAATATGCCACTTGCTATTCTCTAATAGATTTATGACATTCCTATTAAATAAATGTTAGCTCCTTTTAATGTAGTCATATATAAAGCTTATAGTAAATTTATTTGAATAACTTCGTTATATTGCAAATCTCTGTATAAGATTGTATTAGATAATAAATCTGCAAATTTATTAGCCATTTCATCGCTTTCTTTTGATAATGATGAGGATAATTCCCCATTTTTTTATATAGATTCTTTTAATTTTTTTAGAGTCGATTAATAGTATCCTAACTTTTATCCATTCAGGTATTCGAATATACATTATTTATTTTCTGAGCTTAGTTAAGCATTTTGTTAAATTAAATTGATAGAATCAAATATTGCTAAATCTAATCTTAATTCATTGGTATCTATTGGTAAAGTTGGTAATTATTCAAATAAATTCTTTCATTACTAAATTTTTTACATCAGTTATGATTGGATCAACTTTTGAATGATAATATTTATAAAGCTATCTTTTAGTGTATAAATAAGGTGATGGATCGATTTACAATAAGAAATTATTTTTTTTCTTATCTTTGAGCAATAGATTTGTTAAATCATCTAAAATTGTTTCTTGAACACCAGATCTAGGCAAACCAATTAAATTGCAATTTTTATTTCCTATTTCTAAGCATTAAATTATTTCTCTTTTTACATAAATTAGCCTATGGAAATCCTGTCGAATTGAATGCATTTAAATAATTTTTGGCATAATAGTCTTCATCAAATTTATTAAGAATTTCAATAACTGATGTAGAAAATTTAAATGTAGCCACTGTTCCTAGAGATTTATAAATGTTCATAATTAATATATTATAATTTATATATTAAACAATAAAGTCAAGAAGAAGGAATATTCAAATATATTCTAAATAAATTGAGTTAACAATCTATTGAATTCATATTTAATTATTATTAAATTCAATTTTCATTCAAATCCAAGCTTTTTCAAACAAAGTTTATGATTTTCAATTTCCTTTTAACATTTTTCTTCTCCTAAAGAAACAATGCATTCATCTCTTAATTTTCTTGTTTCTGGGCATGCACAACAGGGTCTTAATGGTTCGGTTTTTTAGTTTTATTTTGATTTAGAATTATCCATATTTAAATTTAATTAATAAAAGTAGAGACAATTTTAATAATCATTTATAGAGTATTTTAAAATTGAATAAATAACTTAGAGAGATAGAAATATTTATGATTTTTTGAAGAATTAGAAAAATAAATTAAGATAATTTATTTTGAATATTTAATGAGACAATAATAATTGTAAATATTAATATCATTGAATTGATTGAAAGGGAACTTTTTAAACAAAACTACGCTTAATAATATCGTCTCTGGTCTTATATTAGTGAATTAATACTTTTCCGAATTATCTGAGCTGAATGATTGTAGTGGGGATTTGTTACTCCCCCTCGGTAAGGGATTTTCCATTTTCTTAACGTAATCCAAAATGAACTTTTATTTATTCTACGGAGTGGGACAACTTTCCTAAAATCAAACCAAATAATACCTTTTTTCCTTTTTAAACTAATTATTAATATTACTTAGAGTGATTACTGAATAATTATCTATTCATTGGTGATTAATTAGTAGGTTATAAAGGTTTTCTTTAATGTTAGGATGTTCCTTTTCCTCTAATAGGATTTGGGTTTACACTCCTTGATCTTTATTATGGAGTAGCTATTTAATTATTTTAATTATTCTAAATAGTTATTTAATTATTTTGATTAATTTATTATTATGATTTCTAGGTTTAAGACTTTATAAATTTTTGAAAATAAATTATCATTTCTTCATCCTATTTAAGAATAGGACAATTTTGAGTTGATAATTCATTCATTAAATCTATAATTTCTTTTAATTAGTTTTAATTCAATTAAATTTCGTTTTTTGTGTAATAATTCATTTTTTCTTAGAGTTAAATCATTTTAGCCCTAAAAATTTTATAATTATCTCTAGCTTTATTTAATTTTTATAGATGTTAATCTTCTTCTCGATTTGTAGGTTATTTTATTGATTTAGATGAACCACAATATTACAAACTATCTTTTCTAACATCAATTTCAATAGAATTCTCTTTATTCATTTTTGATCTATCAGTTTCTTAATAACTTGTATGTGGTCTAGATTATTTTGTATTATCTTTCTCTTATTTTAATGAATCAATAACCTAATCTTTTTATTTAATTTAATCTCTTAGAAATGTTATCTCTTTTTTAAGCATTTCTATCTAAACATCTTTTGGATCAGTTCTTTCTTTTCTCTTAGATTATAATTAAGAAATCAACTCTTATTTGATTCTTTCATTTTCATTAATAGCTCTTTCATACTATTGTATTTCATTCTTTAATCTATCTTCATCGATCATTTCTGAATTAATCTATTATAATAAATATTCTAATCCTTCTCTATTTTAAAATTGTAACTAATCTATTTGCTTTAAATTCAATCTAATTTCAAGTTCTTCTTCTGTCAATTAACCTAATAATATTTACTAACAATTACATTAATATTAAACTTCTTACTTTAATGCTTCAATTTCTGCTTATAACAAACTAGCATTTTCTGAATTACAATTACAATTTGAAACATCATTGATTTTAATATTTTAAACAATCTTTTTTTTTATAGCTCTAGCTCTAGATGCATATTTTAAAGTATTAATAGTTTCTTCATGACATTAAACTACTTATTATACACATCCTATCATAAGAGTTTTAGTATTTCCTCCCAGAGAATCTTTTAATAGTCTTGTTAATTTTGAATCTCTATAAGGTACAAACTTTTTCATAGATTAATCACATGCTAACATATTAATACAATTTCCTAATGCCAATAAACTCTTATTAATATTAGCTCCTTCCATTTATCTAATTCCTTTACTACCTTCATTTACGTTTGCTTTTTCACTTCCTGCCAAATCAACAAGTGATAATTTACATTAATATTGTTAATTTACTACAAATAATTAAATAATAGCATGAGATCTAGATGAAAATTAATTAGCATTAGTAGCTGCCATGACTCTTTTTTAATTTCCATTAATTATTATTGATTTTGCTTAATCTATTGTTAAAATCTAAAATTCTTGCACATCTTACAACATCACTCCTTTTATAGGATCTTCATTCAATTATAAACCAACTTAATCTCCTATCAAGTCTCTTATTTACTCATTATAAATTTCCAAATAGGAAATACTAATTTTAACGTTCATTTAGAATAGTTAATCTAAAACCATAGAAACTAATCCATCATTCTCTACCAAAGGATCATATAAGTTTCCAAACATAGTGTAACTCTTTCCTGAACCTGTTTACCCATAAGCTAAAATTGTTCCATTATATCCCTATGAAACACAATCATAAATCATTTATTATATAGACTAATATAATCCATGATATTTATTTACTGAATCGTAAATATCTCGTGTACTCTCTCCTTCATTGAACACATTATCAAATGCAAATGATCTTTATTCATAAGTATCAGGATCTCTTATTGTCTAAGTTGGACATTCTACTTATATTATCTATTGATTATTTCAATAGTACAGTCTCTTTTCCTATTCTCTAAGTAAGAAATCTTTATCTTCCTTCATAAGGTTTCACTCTAATACTCACTTTAAATGGCTCTTACATTATTAATTTAAATTTTAATAATAAGTAAGAAGTTAAATCATCAATCTCAACAAAATATTCATTAAAAAGTCTCTAAACAATTTAAATTTATTTGACTAAACTTTTTTTATAATTATTTGTAATTCGATATCATTAATCTATCCTAAGCAGATCCTTTTTTAAATTATTTGAGATATTTTAAGATTATTGCTGAATCTGTTCTTTGATCAATAGATTGATAAAAAAAAGACTACCTACAGGCACCTTCTTTATTAGAGACCATTTATTATAACATCTTATTAATCGTTATCATAATGTAGAAAAATGAATTAAAATACTAATATAAGATTCAGGATTATATCCTATCAAAAAATAATTTTAATTGTACAGATCTTTAAAAGTTTTTTAGTGATCATATACATAAACTTATAAAATATTATCATTAAATTTAGAGATGAAGATGTTAATCTTTCAAAACAAATTAACTAATTACAAAATTCTAAAAGTTTAAAGAAACATTCTTTAAAAAAAGAATTTTCCCGTTAACTTAAAAGGTATTATTATAACATAACTTAAATATTATTCATTAATGAAGATGATTAATTACTAATCTGATAAGCAAATTCATTTTATAATCTTGAATAGATTAAAACAATTGATGAACTAATTTAGTTTTTAAAATAACTAACTAAGAATATTTTTTCAATTCTCAAAATCTTTGATTGATTAATGCTAATATAAAATATTTACAAATTTGATTCTATAAAAAAATAACCAAAAATTCTATTATTTTTTGATCTTTTTTTTAATAATATTCTATTTGTTTTATATTTTTTAGTTTCTGTTTTTGTAACCTTTTATTCATCACAAATTTGTTATTATCAGTCGTTTTTTTTTGATATTATTATATTTCCTATCATGTAAATTTCAAAATCATTTATTGATAGAGCTTTACTCAAAAATACTAACTCCCATTATTTCAATAATGTTAACTTACATTTAAAAAATTAATTCTGCTCTTTATAATAGGCATATAAAGATATTTATTTTTCAAAAATCTTTAGAATATTTTAGAGTAACAAATCATTTCAAAATATTTTTTGCATTCTTTATATCAGTACTTCAACCATGTAAAATGTAATTAATGAGTTTTCCATCTCTGATCACTTGAAAAAAAAAGGAAATTTAATAATATTTATATATTATAAAATTCGTTTCTCAAGACTTATATCTATATTGCTATTTATAATCTCATAAAAAATAGTCCTTTTCAATTTTTTTGTACTTTACTTGATGTTCAATTAGATTATATGATACGATTATAAATAAAAATCAGGGCCTTTTACTGAGTTTGATTCTTTTAAATTGCCATAATATATCCTCTTTACTAAATTTCCTTAATATTCAATTTTTCGTTTAGTAATAAATTATCATAAAAAAAAAGACTGTCATCCAAAGAATATACCAAACCTTAAATCACTTATAATCGTACTCGAAAAACATGAAAATAATATATATATTTTATTTTAATATTTTATTAATTATATATCGATTCATTTTTTTTGTGTTGCTTTTTGTGATTTAGCTTTTTTGGCTTGCTTATTTCTTCTATTCTATCTAGGTAATTTTCTTTATCCAGCACTTGGTTAAGTTGTAGCTTAAGCCTCAGCAACTGCAGCCTAGATTGTTCTTGTTTATCTTGGGCCAGCTGGTTTTTTTGCAATTTTTTTAGTTGCTATTTAAATTTAATTAGAAAGTTACCTGGTTTGGGAGCTTTCTTTTAAGCTTTAGTTTATCTGGCCATTTGTTTTTTATTATTATTATTGACAAATTAGTATTTTTTGATTAAGAATGAAATTACTCAATTTATATTAATTTGATTGGATAATTTATTAAATTATAGAATAAAAAGCACTCTGAGTTCTTAAATCTAAAAATATTTTGAGATTATATAGGGATTAAGTTCTAATTTAATTAATCTCATTCTTATACTTCATTCACTACCAAATATTAATCTTTTTGGTTAATTTCTTTTATTATATTTTGATTCTATATTTCTAACTAATATTGAATCTTATGGTATATTTAAATGTCATAATTTCTTTGAATTTTATTTTTTGGTTTGATAAATCTTTAAAATTCAATTAATAATTAGGGATTAGAAATTGAAGATATAATTATAAAATAAATATATAACATGGTTTTATTATTAAGAGGAAATAAAATAGATCTTGTTAGTATAAAATGGTTCTTTAATTCTTATAATAATAAATAATCTTTTTTCGTTTTTGTTGACATTATAATTTCTAAAAATTTAATAATTTGTTTATTAAATTTTCACTAAAATAACTTTATCTAGTTCAATTTTATATGATTTCTTAATCATTAAATCATAACCATTTTAAAAGATTTTAAGAAAGAATTGAGTTTAATAGAAGAAATAATTAAGGACGAAAAAAAAAAAAGAAAAATTTTCATTCTGATACAAATAATAAAAACATTTTTCTTTCTTAAATGTTTTTATGTTCTTTTACAAATAATGCTCAAAGCTTAATAAAGTTGAGAATATGTATTTGATAGACTTTTTATAAATTATGAGTTAAAATAAATAAGTCAATTTTATTATATTAAAAAAGTCTTATAAAATATAAAAAGTAATAAGATTATTAAATAATGAAGAAGATTTAGAATAGAGAATAAAGTGCGTAATTTAATATTTAATAAAAAACATATTTGATAATATTATTTCGAGATTTTAATAAAATTACGAATTATTATAAATAATTAATTAGTTGTGAAGTTTATTGTGCAATAAATAATTATTATAAAATGATATTATAGTAATTTTTGATTTAGTTTATATGAATAATTTTAATATTTAATATCTTTAATTCGATGATAAGAGCCTCAAGTAAACTAATAAGATATCCTTTTTCGGCAACATATGTTAGTGGGCTATTTGAACACTGGTAAAAAAACCCTTAATCAGTTCCAGAAGGTTGGAGACAATATTTTAGTGAGCAAGTTCAGATATAATGATAATAATAGGTTAATGGTGGAACCGGAGTGTAAGGCACAACTTCTTTGAATCCATTAGATCATGCTAAACAAATTTAGTTGTTATATAGAACTTACTATATGTTTAGAATGTTTTTTGTATGTGGACATTAATTGGCTGATTTAGATCCATTAAGTAATTGAATAATATTATTTAATATTAGATTTACCACATACAAAGGAATATGGAAGAGTAAAGGGTTCAAGACCAGAGATGACTTTGGATAGTTTTGGGTTTAAGAAAGAAGAATTAGATATTCCAATATATTTTGGAAATAGGGATTAAAGATCATTTATTTATGTATATAATAATACTAATTTTAGCCATTTATGGAAGCAAAAGAAGAATGGACAATTAGAGAGATCTATGACAGATTATCTTAGATTTATACAAAAAAATATGGAGTTGAATATATTCACATGGTATCAACAGAATAAAAACATTGGGTAGAATAAGAAATGGATAGAATAGCTTAATGGAAACCAAGTAAGGAAACATAAACATCAACTTGGTAGAGATTAGCAAGAGTTGATTTATTTAATGAATTTTTGAAAAACAGATTTACAACAAGCAAAAGATTTGGAATAGAAGGAACAGATACTTTAATTGTAGGTTTAGAAGCATTAGTAGATTAATGTGCTTAAAATAAGGTTGAACATATTATTGTAGGAATGGCTCATAGAGGAAGATTGAGTACATTAGCAAATGTATTTAAAAAACCATTAGAAATTATATTTGCAGAATTTTAAAATAAATATAGTAAAGAAATAGAAGAATCATGGGGTAATATAGGTGATGTTAAATATCATTTGGGAGTTACAAGAGATCAATAGTTTCCAGATGGACATCATATCAGAATGACAATGTTACCAAATCCATCACATTTAGAAGCTGTTAATCCAGTTGTATAAGGTAAGACAAGAGCATTGTAGGATATTTGTAACAATAAATAAAGCTGTCTAGGTATTATTATTCATGGAGATGCTGCTATGGCTGGTTAAGGAGTTGTTTATGAATCATTATAGCTAGAAAATTTAACTGGATATACAAATGAAGGTGTTATTCATGTTGTTGTTAATAATCAAATTGGTTTTACTACAACTCCCATTGATAGTAGATCTGGTTTATATTGTACAGATGTTGCTAAAGCTATTGATGTACCAATAATCCATGTAAATGCTGATGATCCTGATCTTGTGGAAGAAATATTTAAAATAGCAGTCAGATTTAGATAATAATTTAAGAAAGATATAGTGATTGATTTGATTGGTTATAGAAGATATGGTCATAATGAATAAGATTAACCAGCTTTCACTCAACCATAAATGTACGAAATCATTAATAAATAAAAACCTGTATTTTAAATCTACGATTAATAATTAAGAAAAAATGGTATTATAACAGATGATTTTGCAAATACGGAGATTAAAAAACTCACAAATATACTTGAAACCGCTTATAAAAATATCTAAAAGGAAACATTTGATAAAGTACATTGGGTACCAAAACCATGGGAAAAGATTTAATAAGTAACAAAATGGGGAAGAGTAAAGGATACAGGAGTTGCTTTAAGTGATATATTAGAATTGAATGAGAAAGTAAATAATTTACCAGCTGAATTGACAGTTCATCCTCAAGTAAAGAGAATTTATGAATAAAGAAAATAATCTATCGAATAAGGAAAGGGTATTGATTTTGGTACAGCAGAAGCTTTGGCTTTTGGAACATTATTACATGAAGGATTTAGTATAAGATTAAGTGGTTAAGATTGTGAGAGAGGAACATTTTCATAAAGACATGCAGTAATTAATGATCAAAAGAAAGATATTAAATATTATCCACTTAGAAAGTAGATTCCTAATGGGGGAAATAACAGATTTGAAGTTTTCAATTCTCCTTTGTCAGAATATGGAGTATTAGGATTTGAATATGGATATTCTTAATCAAATCCAAATGTTTTGACAATATGGGAAGGATAATTTGGAGACTTTGCAAATGGAGCATAAATTATGATTGATAATTTTATTACATCAGGAGAATCTAAATGGAATGTACCTTCAGGATTAGTAATGATGTTACCTCATGGTTTAGATGGTTAAGGACCTGAACATTCTAGTGGAAGAATGGAGAGATATTTATAATTAATGGATGATGATCCTAATATTGTATTTTAGATGAAAGAATAGAGAATTAAAAGATAAATTCTAGATTCTAATTTCTAAGTTTGTGTATGTTCTAACCCATCCAATTATTTCCATTCACTTCGTAGATAATTAAGAAGAGATTTCAGAAAACCATTAATTTTATTCAACTCTAAAAGGTTACTTAAATTCTCAAAGGCAACTTCTGACATTTCTCTTTTCCTTGAAGGAACCAGATTCCATAGATTAATTCCTGATTCTCATGAGGAAATTAAGACTCCCAAAGAAATATCCAAAGTCATTATCTGTTATGGATAAGTTTATTATGATATTTTATAGAAAAGATAAGATTCTAAAAGAAATGTAAATATTTATTATAATTTCCAGGATGTTGCCATTATTAGAGTAGAATAATTAGCACCTTTCCCTTATGATCATTTTAGAGTAGTAGCTTAACAATATGAGAATGCAGAATTTGTATTTTGTTAAGAAGAACATTAAAATTCAGGAGGATGGTAATATTTAGAACCAAGAATATAAAATGTATTTCTTAACATTATTTAGGTTTTATCATTGCTACATCAATAAGGCAAAATTAAACATTAATATTTAACATTTTGTGGAAGAAGACCTTCAGCATCAACAGCTAGTGGATCCTCAACTGTTCACAAATAAGAATTAGAAAAGCTTTTAAGTATACTCTTTTAATGAGTGTATATTTATTGAATAGATCAAAACTTATTGTATCTTTTCTTTCCTTTCTTTCCATCATCTGATCCATTTTCTTCTTCCTCTTATTATTTCATAAACTCTGATTAAATAATATGTAATTCTTTTTCCACTCTTTATATTTCACCAATATCTATCTATGGCTATTTACGATGAAAATCTTTTCTGATATCATAAGTTGGTGGAGTTAATCCACTGTCACAAACTACTTTGTCTCCACATTATCTTGTGTTACTTGTCTTTCCAACCCAAATCATTTAACTTATATCATTCGATTTATATAAATTTATGAAATCCTTTGATTTATAACTCTCTGTTATTGTTGGCAAATCAACTAATACACCTTTATCTTAATATTTCAAACTCTTTATTGATACTTCGAATTCCAAACCTTTACCTATTTTTGGTTCAATTGTCATTGGTAATTATTAATTATTTGCAAAAGACTCCCGTATTTTCTCTGCTATTTCAGGAGGAAATCTAATTATTAACTAATTTTCTCTTTCATATATTTTAGACATTAATTATAAGTATTTTTTTATATTAATAATTTGAAGAATAATCAATACATTTTTTCATTAAATTACAATAAACTATCATTTTTTTTCATTTTAATGAAATGAATAATAACTATTAAATTAATTAAATAATCTAAGCTTATGTCTAATTCTAATGAAAATGAGAAGGGTAAGGAAAAAGAAGAGCAGTATTATAGATATCCAAAATCCTTTTTAAAAGATATCTTTATCACTTTACATTCCTTTGATAATCCAGAGAGAGATGAGCATGAAGAATTCATTGATATCGAAATGAAATACGATTTATTTAGTTATGCTTACAAAGGAGTAGCAGATATTGAGTTAAAGTTTATGAAAAGCTCAGAAGAATATTTGAAATTAAAAAGCATTGAAAAATGTAAAGAAACTCCAAAATATACTTGGATGTAAAATATATACAGAAATAAAACAATTAATAAAGAAGATGATATGTTAGCTTGTGAAAAATGGGTGATTGATATTAATGGTTAAAGAGAAGTCTCCTATGAAGTAATAGTATTATGATTACCAATTTAGTTAGAATTTTTTTAATCGTAACAGGATAAATTTTATTCAATAATATACCCTCCTACAACTATGAAGTTTTTTTATTATATGTTTAAGAATTATTGAGTCAATTGAAATATTATTGCATTTATATATTAATATAATATTTATATATAATATTTATCAAAACTATTTATCTTTTTTCAATTAATTAATTTATTCTGAAAAAGATACTTCTTTACCTTTCTTTTTCTTTTTTATTTAACCATCTGTTGTTTATTTCTTTTATGATTGATACTATTATAGTATTTAAGGATCATCTTATTCATTGTTTTAAAAATTAGATTCCTTAATATATTATTGTTATTGTTATTGAAATTATTATTATTATTATTATTATTGTTATTGTTATTATTATTGTTATTATTATGTGTATGATTAATGATATGATTATGTAGGTTTATGTTTAGATAATGTTACAAATTATTATTTTTCTTCCTCCTCTTTTTTTGTGCTTTTTTTTAATCTTATATTTGTATTATTATTGTTTAGATGATTTAATATATCAACATTATCTCCTACAATTCTGTTAGCTGCTGTAGCCTATTGAGATTGTGTATGCAATTCAAAAGGAGTTAACAATATAGGCACTTAAAAATAATATTGTTTAGCTTAAGTGGAATATTGACTGCCTTCATTAGTAATAATGGATAAATTAGATATATTGGAATTAGGATGGTTTTGAAAGATACTTCATATAAGATAAAGATACTTGTTAATATTGGCTCCACTCAAAGCTAGATACGGGGATAAATCAACTCTATTTAAATAGATATAAAATATTACAATAATCTGCCTAGACGATCAGATAGAGGAGCTAACTGGGCAGCCAATAAAGAAGTCTCATAATAAGCATAATTTTCTTTAAATTCTTTTGAAATGTTTGGAGCATCTCTTTAATTATCTACAGACATATCTTAACTACTATTTTCTTCTTCTTCTGCAATATTTTCAGCCATCATTGTATTATGATTATGTCCAATAAAATAAGTAGTTAATTTAGAGATGTCAGATCTTAATAGATCAAAAAATTACTTCATAGATTTGATAGATGATGTTTCATAATCAATAGAAATCTTATCTGATTTCATGGATTTCATAGATTTAAGAGATATAACATCATCTTATTTTTCAACCTTTTCCTCTTATATTCTTCGTTGCTCTTCTATCATTCCAGTTATAAGATTAGACATATCTGCCTTTTTATTTTATGGAATAAATTTGTCTTCCACGCTATCTGCTAATCTAGACATCATATTTCCTGCCCTCGATAATAACATAGCTGTTTAACCAAGTAATTCACTAAAAGTCCATAATTATTGTTATTCATGATTATTAAGAATGGGAGACATGTGATAAGTCTTTTGTATTGTGTGAGATCTAAATAATGCTAATCTATTTGATGGAACTCCTAGCCATTCTTCTCCATTTTGATGTACTATTTAAACCTGACTTTATTATTTTTATCCAATATAACCTTCAATCCATTCCCCATAAGAATCTTTAAAATCAATCCACTAACCTATTTCAAAGTCTTTTTGGGCAAATATTTGGCCTTGTTCAATGACTTCAGCCACTGTATTGAATGATTGTAAAAGATTATGTAATGTCATTACATTTTATTGTAGTGAATTTCTAGTTGGTAGCTATTAAAATCCATGTAATCTCTATTAAAGAACCTTTTTTCTAGAGTTTCTTCTGCTCTCCTGTACATCAACTGCATATTTACTATATACATACAGCTATTTCTATTATCATGTTCATCTATTGAACTAGTAGATAAGCCTCTATTTAAAGGAGATGATTCGAATTCAGGCATATTGGCTACTAAATGAACAACGCATTAATCTTCTATGCTCAAAGAAATTAAAGTATCCTCATTATTAAGTTACTTTCCCTTAAACAATAATCTCTATCTCATTGAAGGAATAGTTGAAACCTCTTCTATATGTGATAACTTACTATTTCAATTAAATTTTTAAGATCACTAATAGTCTGACTTTATTTAATTCGAATATCTAATGTGTGATTATCTAAGGTCTTTATCTTCACACAGATTTCTTCATTAAATTATTCATCTTTTGAATTCATTTATTATATTTTAATTTATATGCTTTATCAAAATCTAATTATTATCTTTCTTTTTTCTTTTTTACTTTCTTTACCTTACCTTTATCATACTCTTTATCATATGCATCCTTTACTTTAACTTATTCATTATGATCTTCCGTTGCCAACTGATAGATTCTTTCCCTTTTTATTATTTTTATTTATTTTGCTAGAGATAATTTTTTCACTTTATTTTTTCTACTCTTCAGTTTTTTGAATCTATTTATAAAAACCAAGATTTACAATATTAAATATTTTTTATGGTTAATTTTTATTAGGATTTGCTTATGAATTTTTTTTTTTACAATTTTCTTTTTGTCAAACTCATTTTGTATTTCTCTTTTAATTTATTTCCTTTCTTCCTCTGTTAGATTCCTCTTCTTTTAAGGTAATTAATTCTATATTTAAAAATACTATGTTTCCTTTCCTCCTATTGTATATGAATATACAAATTCAACCGGTTAATAAATTTAATTATTAATCATACAATAAATAATTATCAATCAAATTATAATTTTATAATAATTCTATACAACATAAACATGTATGTATTATAATGTTTGATCCCTATTACATTTCTACATCTAGAACAAATTTGGCATTTATAATTAAATGTAGTTGATTTAAGGAATAAAACAACCAAAAATGTTTAGAATGAAAAATAAATGAAATAAACAGTGAAGGTTGTTTAACCTGACGCCGAATATTAATAAGATGATACTTAATCCATTTTACAATGATAACATTAAAATAGAGTAGTCCATTCAAAATCTTAAATTATTTAATTCATCATTTAACATCAAGTTCTGTAGGAAGTTTATTTAATTTTAAATTCCTTATAAACTTAAATTATCGTGTTAGTCTTAAGAAATCAATTTTCATTATTAATATTTAATTAATAAAGATAAAGTTATTGTTAATATTATTTCAATTAACAAATAACATAAAAAATGATAATATAGATTGATATAACAAATCTAAATTAATTCTAATAAAATTATTCACTATTATTCTAAATTAAAACTTTCTTTAATTCTATCTCTAAATGAATATACTTTAAACTAGACTCCATCTCCTTTAAAAAATTTATTTTAAAATTCTACCCTAGAATAATAAGATGAATATTTACCAATGCAATCTTAAGGAATGTAAAAAACATTCCATACTATCCATACACATTAAAACACCAAAAGTTATCAACGCCCAAAATATAAACCCTATCATTAAATTAATTGGCTTCCCATGATTAATTGGTTAAGCTAACAACAATTCAAAAAAGACTTCTGAGAGTTATGAATGAGCTAAACTTAATGCCCATAATCTTAAATAACTAGCTGTATTTGATATTACACCAAGTACAAATTCTAACATTTCAATGGTTTCATGAACAATAATATCTTAGATTTATTAATGAGAATTATCCTTTTATTGTATTTTAACTGAAGAATCAGATATTTCTATGATTTTTTAGTTCTATTTAGAATCTACTTAATCATGACTATACAAATGAGTTTGAGACATTTCAATCCCTAGTTCTTCAGATAATTATCCATAGTCAATTCTTTGAGTCTTATGTTTAGGTTCATTTTATTTGAAACTTTTTTTTGATAGAAAGTGATTAATAATTATTGGGAACCACATCCATGGAATTGTGAAAATTGTTATTGCTAAATTATTTATGTAATTCTACTTAATAAACAATATTAAATATTGTCTTGCGATTCTCCTTCCCACATTTAAGGACCTGATGTTCTCCCTAAATTTAAAATCATTGATATCATTGTTGTTATTATACTTGGAGCATTTTGTGGCTCAAAATGCGTTAGCCATTTATAAATTATTAAAAACACCATATATCCTATTGTGCATACCAAAAATAATAATTATGGAATGAATTTACAATATAATCTTAACCAATCTTACAAAAACAAATAATTCAAACCACCTAAAGTAATACCTAATAACATATGGAAAAATGCGATGATTATGCTTAATTTCATTTTAATAGAATCATTAAATTCTAAATGTCCTCCCCACATAGGATCTATTCCAAATGGATAAACACACTATTCCTATGATCTTAAACAAGTTTTAAACAAATTTAATGATAAACTTAAATAATCATTATAAATTAATCCTGAATAAAAACTAAATAAACCCATCAATAAAATCAAATATCTTAAGCTATAGAATTACCTATTTTTACATAAACATAAATAACATCCAAACATAAAAAGTATAAATCCATGTCCAATATCTCCAAACATTATTCCAAATAAAAAGGGAAATGTAATTATTGTTATTATTGCAGGATTAATCTCTTGATATCTTGGTATCCCATATGTATTTACTATTTCTTAAAATGTAGAAGTGAACTCATTTAATCTGAAATAGGTAGGTTTCTATAAATAATCAGGAGCTTTCTTCTAAGCTAATTATCCTCCAGGATTGCTTGATTGCTTTTCCTTAATTAATTATAAAGTTTATTCTAAATATTATATATCTCTTGTTGGCACCCATAATTCTCCCAAAAATAATCTGCCTTTCATTTTCAGCTTATTTAGTTCCTTATAGAGTTCCTTTTCTTTTATTAAATAAAATTTATAAAATTCTATTAGAGGTAATCCATTTTTAATCAAAAACATATTTGAGATGCATTAGCACAACTATTTCTAAGTCATTTATATAAGCTAGATTCTGTAATGTTTATTACATTGATATATTCGGCTTGTTTAATTTTCAATTCATTTAATTTTCTTTCAAATTCTTACGGACTCTAAGGCAAAGTAAACTTTCCCTAAGACATTTATTCTACTATTTTTATAATTTTTTATCTTCCATAATTTCCTATATTTGGAAATAATATAATGAAAATTGATTATTTTTCATTCATTCTTTTCAAATGAACAAAAGAGTTTCCTTTTGTCACTCTAAAAATTACTCGATGAAATCTATTTTTTATTACAAATAAATAATACTATAATTGATCTAAATTTTTTAGTATCCCAACGCAGGACTCAAACTTTGAACTTGATTAATTTTAAAATACATTATCCCCTAAATATTTTTAACTCTCTTGTAAAATTTCAATGTAATTTTAAATGTATTCTGATTAATCAATAAGTTATTCTAGATGCTTATTTTATTCTTGAAAAGATGAAGTTTTTTTGTTTATATCCTCTTCAATCTCATCAAGATATGTATGAGTATGGAAGTTTTACTATAAAAAATTTATTACATTAGATAGAATACTTGATTGGTAAATTATTTCAAATTTCCTTTTTTATAATTAGATAACAAATTTTAATTTTTTGCTACTTATAGCATATTCTCTATTTTTACAATCAAGTCATCACATCTAATGTAATGATTAAAATGCCTTACCTTTTAACGTAATTTGCAAATGGTCTATTAATCAAAGCTTAATTAGGATTATGGTCAATAATTTCAACTTTACTAAGATATCCTAATTAATCCATTATAGTCCATGCACTATCTTAGGGCATCACTAATTAAAAATAACTTATTTCTTGTGATCTAAACATTATATTATATAATATAATACTATAAAATTTATATTAAAAAATATAATTAATTCATATAATTCAACTTTCAAAAACTTTTGGATTGAAAAAAGTTAATGAATTCAAAAACTTTTGAAAATATTCTTTAAAATGTTGTTTTACTCATATTATATTAAAATATAGTTGGGAAAATTTTTCGTATGTATTTTATAATTAAATTTACACAAAAATTTTCCGCTATTAGCTAATAAAATAATTCATGAAAAAGAATTCGAGAAAAAAGTAAATTTTAGATTAGCAAGAAGAGAATCCAAGAAAGAAAACAAAATTAGAAATTCTTGATGCTGATTAACACATTTCAAAATATAATAATAACTTAGATCATTTAATAGATATTTTCACAAGGTATGAAAGAGAAGATGACTTTACTTAAAATCTAATGACCAACTCTAAATTATCAAAAATATAAAAAATTCATGATTTGAGTTTGGATATCTTTAAATCTGAATAATTCTCATTAGGACCAAAAGTTGAGAATGGTGATTTTTTACTAGGAGACAAAGTACTAAAAATTGAATCAGTTAAGAAATCTTATCAGAATGGTAAATTAATAGCTACTGTAAAATGGAGAGCAAGGTAATATTATTTATTTATTCAGATCTAATGGTACAATTCCAAAATCTAGAGAATATTTTACAACTGAAGTTGCTAAATATGCTCCTAAAGAACTAATTAAATATTATAAAAGTAGAATGGTGACAACATCTATTATCGAATAATAACAAGATTGTTGATTTATAATTACGTAATTTTCCATTAATAAAACCATTATGTAAATTTATATAATTTTATTTTTATTATCTAAAATGAATTATATCAAATAGCTGTTGTTTAATTTTTGGAATAGATCTGAGATTTTATTAATAATCAATCCTAACAAATAAATAACTAATAATTGAATTATAAATTAAGTAAGAATGGATGTATTATAATAAAATTATTATTCTTTTTAAATGAACTCAATTAAGTAGTTAAAATTAAATTATACATAAAATAAGTAACTTATTCTTATTTTATTGTTCTGGATATATTAACATCCTAGAAAGGGTAAGTTTATAAACATTCTTTGTTATTCATTTTTTCTAGTAATTTTTGATAACTATTTTTAGGGTATTTATTATTAACTATTATATTTAATGAGGCTGATTTGTAATTTGCAACAATAAAGCAAGAGTGAGGTTAATTTTTGATTATTTTTAAAAAATAATTCAAATCATCTTGCTATGGCAACAGAATCAAATCAACCTAAGATACTAGAAGAATCAAGAACTATGCTCATACTTCTAATGAGACTTCCATAATAAAAACTTCATTCAGTTCTTTTTGAAAGTTCAGAAAAAGCTCTTGATCAACTTGACTATGCCTTTCATACAATACCGTAAGACTTCCTTGATTCATCAAAGACTCAGATAGATGAATTTAGATGTAAAGTAAATAGGATGATCATGCATCATCAAAAATTAACAAACCAAACTAGAATGAACAAATTAAGGTCTGCCTTAGGATGCCTAAAGAAAATAAAGAAAAATAATAAATGAATTGTTACTTATCTATATTCTTTTTTGATCCAAATATATATTTTTTCCATTCTAATAAAATTGATTCAAGTACAATTAGGAAAGACTAGTATCTCACCCAATTCCTTAAAGAATGTCTCTTGTTCAATTTCAACTACTTTTTCTAAACTTAAATCTGTTTACTGATATTTAGACTTTGCTTGAATAATACAACTAATTAACGATCAAAATTACAATAACCATCTTTATTACTTTATTATAATGATATGAAAAAAATCATGTAAAGTATACTAAATAATTATAGACTCTAATTATATAAATTTAATTAATGCTTAATTTTATGTATCAAATAAGAGTGGATTATATGTAATTACAATCAACTATTTTATATTATATAAATAAGAAATGGAAAAACTGAAAAACGTATAACTAATTTTAAATAAATGAAGATTTAAAAAGGATAGAAACACTTATTATACATAATGAAAATTGTCTTAATTAGGTTTAGATTAGTATTTTATTATCAATAGTATGATAATATACTGAAAGTCCTTTTTAAAATTTCTGTGAATAATTATAGAGTAATAGAAATAGATGATTTATGCGTAGAAATAATTAATATAAAAAATCAATGTTAATTACAAAGTGTATCTTTAGAGATTTCTTCAATTTTCTTTTTCTTTATAGGAGAATCAGTGATTTCCTTTGTGTCATCACTGTTTGGAGTGGGCTTTTCTTATTTTTTTTAAATAGACAAAAAATCATGCTATTTTTAAAAACCAATGGTTTCTTTCAACTAATCAATAAAATCTTAAGTATTTTAAAGAGGATTCTCTACTTTTCCATATTTTAAGACTTAATACAATTCAAAATATTATTATCCTAAATTTAGTTTTACAATAGATAATTTTTCATTATTGCTTATTAGATTTAAGACTTGAATAATCTATGGGTTAATTACAATGGATTTACATCTTAAATAGATTTTTATTTAAAGACAAGATCATTTAGCTTGATAGTAAAATCCTTTAAAATATGCTCATTTAAATTGCCTAATTCAATTTCTTAAGACTTTTCAAGTCCTTCAATCAATTTTTTAGCTAAATCTATTGATTCTTTTAACTTTTTAGTTTCTTATTGTATTGGTTTAGGATTCCATTTCTTTAATTTATCAAATCCCAATAAGGCGCTATAATGCTAAATATAAATGATACTGCGAAGTGTCTCCAATGAAATTCACCCTGTATAAGCAAATTTATCCATTCTTGCCCTTGATATTAGTAATTGAAGCAATCTATATGATGATTATTGTATAATTACTTTTGCAGGCCACCATGGATCTAAAGAATTATATTATACTTACAGCCTAAGACTTTCGCCCAAATTATCTCATTAAGTCTATAACTCTATTCGGCATCCTCAGACATTCTATAAATTCTTCTTTATAAACAAATAAATATTAAATAAGATATTATGCATAAATTAGAATATTTAATGTTTCTAAAAGAAATTCATCACAATTTTAATTTCTAAGATAATAATTGTAAAATACTTATTTTATAGTTCTCAATTTCTTTATGGCAGAATTTGTAATGAAGATCAGTAATCAAAGGAGTTGATCGTAGATGAAAATGATTTTATGGAATAAGAATTATTATAATAAAATATATAATGATGTATTAGAAAAGGAGAAAATTCTTAATTAGTATTTCTAATATAGCGTAGCAATAATAAATTTTAAATAAATAAATTTATTATGAACATTTACAATTATCTCTTTAAGTTTATTATCGTTGGTGACACTAGTAATTTATTGTTTAATATGAAGATGTTGGGAAAAGTTGTTTACTATTACAGTTTACTGATTCTAGATTCAGAAATGAACATGATGCAACTATTGGAGTTGAATTTGGATCAAGAAATCTCAAAATTAATGATAAGCAAATTAAATTACAAATTTGGGATACAGTATAATAATCTTAATATAAATTAATAGGCTGGTTAAGAATCATTCAAATCAATTACGCGATCTTATTATAGAGGGTATGAATTTTTATGATTATTATTTTAGATCAATTGGTGGAATTCTTGTATTTGATGTAACAAATAGACAATCCTTTGAAAATGTGTAAAAATGGTACAATGAAATATAAGGATATGCTTGTGATAAAATTGAAATGGTTATTGTTGGAAATAAAATTGATTTAGAAGAAAGGTAAGATGTTTTAGTAATTTTATTTAGGAGAGAAGTAAGTTCTGAGGAAGCAAAAAAATTTGCATAGAAATTTAAGTTTGATTATTTTGAAACTTCAGCAAAAACAGGAGAAAATGTTGACAATGTATTTGAGTCTATGGCAAATAAAGTTTTAGCAAAAATTTAAAGTGGAGAAATAGATCCAACTTAAGAAGTAACTATCTATATAAATATTAAGATTTATGGAATTAAAATAGGATCTATAGGAATTTAGAGCAAATCTTCTAATAATGTTCCAAATAATTAACCAGCCAAACCACAAACCATAACAACTGATTAAAATCAAAAAAACTCATAAAAGAATGATTCCTGTTGTTGAAATTTATATTATTTTTATTAAATTGTATCATCAGTGGCTATAAAATATCATTCTTAATTGAAATAGAATCTATAAGTAAATTTTAAATTAAATAATAATTAATATTAATATTAATTTCATATTATTAACATCTATGTTTTATTTATTTCTATAATAGAAAAAAGTTTAAAATTATTTATCATTAACCTACTTCTTTTTTAGGGATTGGTAATTTACATAAAATATTCATTCAATTAGACTTACTACTGAAATTTTTAAATATGATAAAAAATTTAACTTTATATTATATTTCATTTTTCTTGTAAAGCAGCCTTTTATTATTAAACTTTTGCATGTGTTTCTTCCATTTTTTCATAAGCTTCTTCAAGTATTGATAATAAAGCCTCATGTCCATCCATTCTTAATTATCTCTCTCCTTCTAATTCGCTTTTAATTCTTACTACCACTTCTTTTAGCATAGTAAACATACTCATTTCTGCATCTTCTCTATGAATCTCATACTTAATTGTACCTCTATTATTTTCCTTAATTAGTTTATTCATATAGTTTAGAAATCTCATTGCTAGCTCTTTTAACAACATCCTAATCCTCTTTTACCCTTTCTTAATTTTCTTATACATTATATTACCATAAAGCTGGCAGATCATTTTAAAGAGTTGTATTTATTATATTTACTTATTAATTTCTAACTTTTATTTCTTACCCTATTTGTTAGAGTAAATCTTAAACCTTTAATATTGTAATTTTTAAAAATGTACTTATTGATCATAATTTGAAAGGACTTAGTCACTTTACTCTCTATTTATCTTTATATCATTATCAAGAATTTTCTGAAGCTTATTCTCTAAATTTCTAATCTCTTTTAGTTTCATTTCATGAGATGAACTATATTATTCATTTTGCTTTCCAAATTTTTTGCTCAGATCTGAAAATTAATTTGTCAATTATCCCTATATTCACAAGAAAATCTTACAAGTTATTCATTGTAATTATTAATAATATCTTTCAATTCACTTTATGCTTAATTGATTCTATCATAAATTTCATCTATTTTTGCATCTTTTGTTGTATCAACTTCAAACTGTAAAGCACCTAATTTCTCTTACAATTTTGTGTATCTCTCATTAATTTAAGTATTGGGATCCATTTAATAATAAATAAATATAAATTTATTTCTGTTCTTATTATTTTTTCAATTAATTCTATAGTTCTTTTAAATTTACTTTACTCATTCTGAATTAAATTTAATTTATTTTAATAAATATTTAGTATCATTTAAATTCTGATATTGATAATTATATCATTTTTAAGTATTTATAATTTGATCTTATTTAAATCATATTTTTAATTGTTATAATAAAATTCTTAGAAAGTATTTTGACTAAAGAAAGTGTATTTTTTTTAACCAAATAATTTTATATGATATTTTATTTATATTTTATAATTTTCATTTGTTAATAATATTAAAACATTGAAAATTGATAAATAATATGATTAAAATAAAGTATAAAAATCTCAAAAAGACTTTTTATATTAATTTAATTAAGATTCAAGTAAATATTTTAGCTGATCCACTGCCTATTAAACTTGTTCATCATCTGATTAACAATCATTATCTAGAGACTAAAAGTAGATATATTTTTTACATGGGCAATAATTTAATTACAAGATTTAGGAATGTTTAATACTTTATCATCATAACATCTGAATTCTTTAATAAATCCTTGAGAATCTTGCAGTTTTAAAAAATAGCATATTTTTTATTTTGATATTTTTAAATATTAATTGATTGTTTGTGTTGGTTATTAAATTCTCTTTTTTAAATGTGATTTATTCTTTTAAATTGATTTGAAAATCTGATGCTTATAACCTATTATATTGCTTTCTTTTTGTTTATTTTTTGTGATATTCTATATTAAAGTTTCCTAATTATGTATTCTCATTAATACCCATCTTGATTTGGTTTTTTATAATTATTTGTCATTTTCATTTAGGTTAGACATAGTTTGTGCAAATTGATTTAAAATAAAATAATGTCTTTCAAATTTAAATTTCGATATAATAATCTATTTAAATTATAAAAAAAAGGCGGAATAAAAATATTGAAACACATTAACTGAATTTTAATCAAAATTTTATTTGAATATTCACTTTACTATTAATTTAGATGGTTGATTGATATTTTGAATAAGTTATTCAACTATTTATCTAGTTTTTAATTATTTCTTTAAATTAAAAATTGACTCACAATTAATTTTTGAAATTCATTTTTGTTTCCATCATTATGTTTAATTTTAAAGAAATGTCAGCTCCATACTATTTCGAGCAATTTTTATAATTATATTAGAAAATAATTAACTTCGAAATTTTTATCAATATCTGTAGGACTTCTGTTTACTTTTTTTTCCTTATTTGTTTCTAAATTAAAAAATTTTTAATCAAATCCCAAAATTCTTTAGTTTAATTCAACTAACTAACATTAAAATTCTTAAAAATTAAATGCTATTCTTTTCGTTTTAATAGATTTTTTGGTTAATGTTAGACTTTACGTTTGTGATGATATACATTCTAGTTAATAACAATTTTATTTAAATATATTTCTATCAATCAAAATTGTTTTGTTATTATTTGTTCTAAGTATTAAATACATTAGAATTTTCTTGTATCATATTTGATTTAATATCTCTTAATAGAATTATTTACTTTAAATTGATTACAAAAACATTTTTAGTAACTTTTGAAATGGAATTTTACTATTTCATGATCAAATTTTTAAACTTTAAAAATTTTAGAATAAAATTTAATAGCTATTTATCCGAATTAGTTAAAATTTGATTATTATAAAGTAATAAACTATTAGAAAAATATCTCTTTATTTTACATAAAAATTTTGATAAACAGAGGCTAAATTTCTACTGTTTGTAGTATGATGAAATAGAAAAATCTTACTGTTATTAAGCTTTTCAGAAATATTAAATTTTCAATTTACTCATAAAATGATTGGAAATTAAAATAGAAAAATTTAAACTATTCTTGATATAATGAAAAATTCAAAAATGAATATAAAATTTGAGCTTTTAAGATTATAGAAATTCTTTTTAGCAAGCATTTTTAAATGGTTTTATTGATATATTATTTATAAATTTGAGTTTATAAAATAATCATTATTACAAGGTTTATATCAATTATTTTTTTTTTTTTAAGGAGAACCGTTAGATATAGTTAGCTTTTGAGAGTTAACTAATACTACATATGGCTAGAAATCTTAGGGCTTATATTTTATCATTTTTTTTTATAATTAGTCTTTTGAAAATTAAATTTAAGTTGGGGATGATGGACTAGCTGAAGAACATTAATTTGATTCAGGATTATCAAATCTTTCAGAAAAATTGCCTTTTTATTTTTTCTTTTTTTTTTGATTTTTTTCTTTTTTCTTTAAAGTTGCATTTTAGGCTACATTATAAAATGTAACCTCAGTTTATGCCGCGATTTCTTTTGTTAAAGGTCTAACACATAGTTGACAATCCAACTCTAAATATTTAGCTCTTAAATCATGTTTTATACTATCATTTATAGTTTTTGGTTTTATCTCTTTTGAAATAGGAATGTGGTATTATATTTCTTAATTGCAGTAGGTTTCAGAGCCTTATTACTAAAATTAGCAAACAGCACCCATAAATATTAGTAAAATAATTTATATTATGTTTCATCAAAGAATGTTTAATATAAAGTGTAATTTTATATATATTGTTTTTAAGATATTTTTTTCAATCATGATGTCAGTTGTGGTATTTTTTAGAAATTTTATCTTAAAATTTAGAAAATAAGCAAATACAAAAAATAATCTAGCATATAAAATTAAAATTTAGTTAATTATTTATTTTCCAATAGTGGCAATTGTTATTTTTTCTGATAGTTGAAATTGAAAAAAAAATTGGATAAAAATTTTTGAAAATATTTAAAATTTTTGACTTTTTATTATGAGGATAATCAAATATCATCAAATATGACTTTTTTTTATGGTTAAATTCTTTAATTTGTCTAATAAACCTAGAACTATTATTGAGCAATACTTTGAAGATTTTTATTTTATTTTGGAATGTTAAATCTCACTTATTTTTCAAAATATATTCGAAATTTATTTGCAAAATTATTTAAACAATGATTATATCTAGTAATGGATGATGTCAATCAAAGGGATACATGATGTTTAATTATACCTTTTAAATTCTTTTATTTGTTTTACTTTTTTTTATTCATTTACTTTATTCTAAAAATATAATTTTTTAGTGAGTAAAACTTAATTCTAATCAAAGAAAAGTAAGAGGAGTGGTTTAGTAAATTTGATATTTATTTTTTGAAAAGTTATTCTAAAGTTTTTATGAATTTTCATGCTAAAATCTATTTATACATGCCGATATCAGCACAATCTAAAAATAAATTACGATTTCAGATTGTTTTTATAGAAAAAGAATCGATTTTATTTAAAAAAATCAAATAAATCTTATTAGAGATCACAATAAAAATAATCTGAAAATTGTTTTATAACCTAAAAAATAAGTTAAATTTATACCTAAATATATGTATTAGTAGAAGATATATATAATAGTAATACAAATAAGTGAATTATAAGAATTATTAATAATAATAAAATGTTTGAATGATTCAAATAATTTTTTGTTGGGTAATTACTATCTTAGATCCTTTGAGTTCGATTTTAGATAAGTTTTTGGCAAAAAGTATAAAATTATTATTTACCACAATATTCAAAGTGTTTGACGATTTAAGAATAACCTTTGCAAATATTTGATCATTTTGAATGAATTGAAATATGGATAACTATTAAAGGGCTGCAAACCTCTTTTATAATATCAAATTAAACAAAGATATTAAAGGTGAAAAAATTCAAGACAAACTTTGGTTTTTTAGTTGAGCAAGAACTTCATGGAATAATAACTTATCATAATAATGGGCAATATAAACTATTTATTGATTAATCAAAATATTTAACATGCTTATTATCCTGGTTTCTATTGATATAATTATTGTGCGCTAAATAATAATAATTCCATTATACCCATTTTCTTAGTTAGTACTTGGCTAAAATTGTTAATCGCTATATCTATAATCATAAGGTGTAAAATTGTAAGTTGATGATTTAAATTCTCCTGGCTAATAATCATTTGTTGTATCATATATTTTATTATAGTCTTCATGTATTGGATACATGTTAGAAGGACTTTACTATGCATATGGGTTTGTAATATTATTTGATATTGGAACATAAGGTTGGTTTGGCAAAATATCATTACCATCATTATACTTATCCCATTAACTAAAATCATATTTCTTTTTTGGATCATTAGAAAGTTATGGAGCGTAATAAGATTAATTCGTATTATAATTATTATAATCGAAATCTTGTACTTATACTGGCTATTATTAGATTGTATCGAATTTTTAAAATTAAGGTTCTAAATTTATGTATGATTAACTTTATGGTTAGGTTTGCAGAGTTGGTATATACTATTAAGATTATACAGGTTGTTATGAATATTAAGCATAATTCATTGGATTGTAACTAGGAATGTTTTAAAAATTGTAAAGATTTGGATTATTATTTGTTAAACGGTTTGATTGAGAAGTCGGATAAAAATGAGAAGATTATTATGGGCGATTATTCTTGTTTATATATTTTGGTTAATAATCTGGTTTGTCATCTATTATTGTATCATCCATATTAGCTTGAATCTCTTAACTCACTTTATTTGAAATTATTGGTGGTTATTTTGGTTCTATTTTTTAAGATCCTTACATTGAATCGGAATTATAAAAGGGATTTGTGAATGATGGTTTATTTGGTTTTTAATTTGTTTCAGGTTATTTTAATTATTATTATTATTATTATTATTAATTATTGAATGAATTACCTCCAAATTATTCTTCCTCATCCTTATAATCTTATTAGATCGTATCATTTATTGTCTTTGGGATCAATAAACTGGTATCATTAATAAAACTATCATATTTTCTCTCATATGGTACATATGTATCATCCAATTATTGAGGTATTTACTATTTTGGTTCTTATTATGGTATAATTGGTTTATTAATAGGTTATGGTTCTGAAGGCTGACGTTATCGAGGTTAAGAAGCTAAATCTTGTAAATCTCTTGAGCATTTAACACAAATGCATTTTTTTTTTTTTTCAGGTTAAACAGAATCAATTTCTTATTTACTTGGTTAAGGCGATTATTAAACTGGAATAGGTTATGGAATTTCTTCATGTAAAATAGGAGCCTCATTCATATATTGAAGATTATTATTATCTTAAAAGTAGATCTAATTTTATTCTTCATATTCATAAAATGGTTATTATTATTAAGGAGGTTACTCATAAACGTAATCATTTTGATCTGGAGGCCAATATTATTTAATAATTTTATCTCCTCCTAGAGATTGTTCTAGTTTTTCAGGATCAAATTAATTAGATAAAATTGGCAATTCTTTATCCTTCAAAAATTTAATTTTTTATAGAGTTATAGGACTTATGTATTCTTTGTTATATATAAAGTATTACCTTCAATTTAAGACCATAATAGATTGATAGAAAGAGTGGCATTGAGAATATAGATTGCTTCACATGTATTTGGGAAACAAGTCTACAATACCTTGATAATGGAGAAGATTTTATCCAAAGGCATTTTATAAGCACTCTAATCTTTAGTTTAAATGACAGCTATCCAAGATTCTATTTTACCACCATAAAACATGTAATCTTCAATTATTGCACATAATATAATTGCTGCTCTTTCAAATAAAACCAAATCATCAACTAATTTAGTAGATACAACCATACAAGGTATATGATTTTTGGTTCTTCCTTCTATGTAAATTGCTCCTTTTTACTTTTACTTTATATTAATTTATTTACATAAAGTTATATCACTTCTTTATCTAGTCTCAGTTCACCAAATTATTTAAAAATTTCATTAGTTTAAACAAATTGCTAACATGATTAAAGATTATTACATCAATTGATGCTTAAATATTGAATTTATTAGCATAAAGATATCTTAGTAACAGATCATCTGTATGAAGGTTTGGATTATATTATTAATTCTTTTATAAAGCTTAAGCTAATTAACTTATTTGCATTTTTTCATATTGATCATAGTCTTCTACTTTAAAAATCTTCCTAATAGCATTTTAACCAACTCCTATTTTTATATTTGTACCTATTAGTCATTAATAATCTTGTTTACTGTCTTATGGAATTGAATCTCCTATAAAGCGAGGCAATCTTAGATAATCAAATACTTATTGAAACATGTTTTAATATAAATAAATTTCGTTATTCTCAAATATATTTTAAAGACTCATTAAATTATTAATGAATTTTAATATCTTTTCTACATTAAGGAATTTAAAATTTTTATTATTTATTTATTAAATTTATTGTATATTGCAATCTTTTTATTGTTGCTTCATATTTATATGACTAGACAAATTTTTAAAATAAAAAAAGATCATAAAATTAAGTAGTTTTTATAAATAGGTCTAAAATTGGTATTTATTTGAAAGGAAACATCAATTAAAATTAATGGGAATTAATTTTGTTATAGGTAGTAAAAATACTAATAAAGCTTAAATAGTTTTAAATTTATTGGTATAATTAATTATATCATAAATAGAATAAAATAATCTAAGCTTAGATGATAAAAATTGGATTTCTAATTTCTTCGTCTTAAGTCTGTAAAATAATGTGAAGATGACTTTAAGAAATTGAATATTTCACTAATATCGCACTAAACTTTTAAAATGTATAAATATAAAAATAATATATTTCATCAATGGATAAAATGTCATATTTAAAGAAGTACATGGATTTAGGATAATCGAAAACAAAAGTTACTTATAAAAATAATATTAAAGATTAAGAAAATATTGATATATTGATGGGTAGAGTAATAAGCAAAGAAAATTATGATGAATTAGAATAATAGCCAGTTTTTGTTGAAACAGCAGAATCGATACATATAGATAAATAAAAGAAATAAGTGTTTCTAAAATAGATGTTAAATAAAGAAAGAAGTAGAAGCAATAGTTAAGAATCAAGTTCATCAGATTCAGAATCAGATTCTGATGATACTTCTAGTTAATCTGATTCTGATTTATCTGTTGAGAGAGCACCTAAACCATAAGAAGTGATTCATAGAGATGTTAAGACTGGACAAAGGATTACTCAAAGTTAAAGAGTTGAATAAGAAAAATAATAAAATCCTAAATTAAAAGCTAAAGAAGATAAATAGACAATTCTTTAAGCAAATAAATAATAAATAGAAATGTGGTCAAAAGGACTGGTTTAAATTTAAGATAAATAGAAAAAATAAGAAGATGCTCAATAAGCTTTAGCTATTAAAAATGAAGATTAAATTAAATAAATTGATATGCAATTGGATAATAAAAATTTGATGATCCAATGAGATAAATGATTTAGGAGGAAGATGACAAATAAATTACTTTAAAAAAGTCAGATTTCTTACTCAAATGTAAATTCCCAAATCCAAATAATAGATTTAATATTTAATCTGGTTTTAGATGGGATGGTGTTGATAGAAGTAATGGTTATGAAATGAAATTACTCAATTCTATAAATGAAAATAAATATAAAAAATTAGAAAAACAACTTGAAAATATGAGAGATTAATGATATATATTTTTTAACCTATAATTTGAATTTAAATTATCATATGAATTAAGAAATATCAAGAGCTGAGTTATTGTAATGGGTTAATGATTTACTCAAAATTACAATCAACAAAATTGAACAATTAGGAACTGGAGCTATCTATTGTTAATTAATAGATGCTGTTCATCCTGGAAAAAGTATATTAATATTTTCAATCATTAGTTTAATTAAGTAAAGTAAATTGGAGAGCAAAATAAGAATATGAATTTGTTAATAATTTTAAAATACTTCAATAATCATTTACCAAATTAGGATTGCAAAAACCCATTGAAATTGAAAAATTAACTAAATGTAAATATTAAGATAATCTTGAATTTCTATAATGGATGAAAAAATATATTGATACTCACTATGTTACTAAAGATTATGATCCATTAACTAAAAGAGGAAATTAAGATTTCGAAGATCCAGATAAATAAATTCGAAATTAATCTAAACCAAAAGTTCTAACTAAAAACAATCCTAAAGATGTATATATTTATTTATACTTTAATATAGTAATAAATCATTTAAAATTTATCCAAGAATTCTTCTTTTGCAACAATTTAAATTTTGAATAATGATTTTTCCAATAAAGAGAATAGATAAGCTTCTATGACAGATTTATTATTATAAATTGAAACATTGAAATGTGAAAGAGATTTTTATTATTTAAAATTAAAAGATTTAGATGGATTGATGGACTAACATATACAATAAAATTTAACAGCTGATTAACTTTGTAAAGGAATTAAAGAAATTCTATATAATACACATGATAGATCTATTGTAGTGTAATAAAATGGAGATTTAGAAGTCAATTATTCTGACAATATTGAAGATTCAAAATCTGAATTTTGCAAAACGGAATAAAATTAAGATGATATATCCATATCTTGAAATTAATTATTAATGATTATTTGATATTTTCAATACTAAATTTATCTTTCATAATATTAAAGAACTATATGATTTATCATTCAGCTACACTCTTTTAAGATTGTACTGCAATTCTTTCTTCAGATTCTTACCTCTGATGTATTTTTTCCTTTTCACTTTTAATTGGTGTATTTAGTGTAGGTGTTTAAGTTTTATTTCTTGATTAAAATGATATTAATGCACAAGGTAAAATCATATCTGCATCCAGTTATAATGCACCTAAATACAAATCATTAGAATTGAATTAAAAGTAATAGTATTCCTTGAATCTCTACAAGCATAAAATAGTGTAAATTCCTATTAGTAGAGTTGAAATAAACACCAAAAATCCAACTAAATAATTTGATCTTGTAAAATACATCTTGAATAAATGAAATAGATACTAAAAAAATTGAAACACAAAGCTAAAAAATTGTCATCTTTTTCCATAAATCCTTCACTTTGAAATCAAACTCTTCATTTTTTTAGGTAGGAATATATATTTTAAGAGTTAAATATCCCTATATTGCAACTAATGCAACTAAAAAAATTTCCACTCGAATGTCAAAGAACTAAATGGAAATAAAAACTATTAAGATAATTTTAGAAAGTGCATGAATGCAACCCATTCCAAAATTATATCTTTGCTATTATTTAAATGTAGAGATATTACCTGTTATATTTTTTCTGTAAAACATTAAATAGCAATAATTGTCGATAGATAAGCTAAAATGAATAAATATTTGAACCAAGGAATAAATGTCCAAGCATGACCTAAAAACGTTGTTTATGAAATTAACATTGATAAAAATGTTGCTATTATTAACTATATTACAGCTACAAATAGAGCTGTTTATTAATAAATTTGAGGTCTTTCTCCTCTAAATCCTAATTTCTCTTACATTACCCTCATTCCATAATTCATCATATGATTAATGTCATCATATTTTTCAGCTGTAATATCTTGGATGTCATTAATTTTTTATGTTAAACCTCCTTATTAATTTGGAATATCATAAGCTTAATCTAAATCTACTTAATTTAAAGGATCTTCTTCTCTAGAATTCATGTTTATATGTTTTAATGCAAAAATAAATAAATGAAATTAAAATCAATTAAAACATTTCAAAATTGATTCAAGTTCAATTAATACAAGTCATTAAAAGACATCGTATGTCTATCACCTCCAAATAATATCATAAAATCATTAAATACTGCAACTGCATGACCATCTCTTGCACAAGGTTTCTTACCATTAATTGTATTCTATCCTCCTGTTATTGGTAAAAGAAATCTAAAATTATATTAAATTTTAAATACTTTGATACAATTTATGAACCAAACTCTGTTAATATTCCTTTTCTTAATTTTAAATCTTATTTAGGATTACCAATTAAAATTATAGATGTTTTTAATTTTTCAGCTACATTGCAATCATCTTCAAAATTCATTATCTCTCTGTTTTCAACTTCAAATAATTTTAACATAGCTATTTTTTTCTTTTACTATTCCCATCTTTTTCTTTCTTAAACATTATTTAAAGTAGTATGAACAGTAGAGTTATTTTAATTGTTTTGATTACTTTAATATTAACTTTAATCAGAACTTACAAAATTATTATGACCATTAGAATAAGATGAATATTATGAGAAGGAACCAGAACGAATTTGTTTTTTTGGTGAAGGACATGGGGATTTTCTTAAACTCATAGGTCTAAGTAATATTGGCAATTTTTTGGTTTTCCTTTATCTAGGTTGATTTCTATTTGTTTTTAAAGGGGAAGGTAATTCTAGTTCTTGTCTTCTTGAAGTATCAAAATTAATAGTTTTCCATTCTTAGATGTCTAAATTGAACGAATGTAAATCATCTAGTTCCCATGTAATATCATGAATACCACCAAAAACAACTAATTTATTTTAATAAGTAATTAATGAATGACCTGATCTACTCATGGGAATATTATTAAAACTATTTATAGAAATAAATGTCCATTCCAATTTCAGTATATCAAATTACCATAAATCATTATATCTCATGTCTCCATTTTTACCTGCAAATATAAATACACTTTTATTATAACTTGTGATTGAAGAACCATCTCTAGGTGCAGGTTCCATTCCTTTTTGTTTATTTAATTTAATCCAATTATTCTCATTAAACTTATAACTGTATAAATCATTTGAGTGTTTACATTAATTGCCACCATAAAATCCTCCAAATATTATCCATTAATCTTCTAACAAAGTTGCACAATGACTATCTATAGGAGCTGGATAAGTTTTATTAACTTCTATTTTTTTCCATTATTGTTGTTTGACGTCATGAATAAATATTTCATTTGTTGATATTGAGTCAGCTACTTATCCTCCAAATAAATAAATATTATCTTCAAAACTACACATAGAATGTCTACAATGAGGTCCTGGTTCATAATCACATTTTATTTTTTACCAAACATAAGTTTGACCATTCAAATTAAGCTTATAGAAGTCTTTCATAATACCAATTGCATACTAATACCCTCCATATAAATATAAACTGAGTTATTATGTTTATTTACTAATTGTTTAAGATAGTTATCGCTGAATTCGATCTGGGTAAAAGATTTTTACCTTCAATTTTACATTCCTACCACTTTGGGTCTAATTATTCTTAACTAACTCTTGTAATCAATGGCAAATATTTGTATTCAGTTTCTTAAGGTTGAGAATCACTAGGACTGATAGGATAAAGTTTCAATGAATCATTATTTCTATAGGATTGTGATCTCTTAGAGTACATGACAATAATAAATTTAATTCTAAGCTTTAATAAAATTTTCATTAAAAATGAACATTTTCAACCAAATATCAATTTTTCTATTTCATATTCTTTTAATTAATAAAAGATAGCAATTCTATTCTTTCATCAAAATATCAATTTCTATCATCTTTTTTGTCATTATTTTATATATGATTAGTTTTTAATAAGTGATAAATTTCAGGGAAATTCTACTCTGTTCAACTTTAAGTGAAAGGGCTGTTAAAATTGAGTTTTAACAATATGTAAAATCAATATTTTTATAATAAGCCAGGTCCTCATTTATAAACTATGTTAAAACTATTACAATTAATCTAAACTGGCTGTAAAATTGATGTTAACACTAAAGGAATTACTTATATACCAGGTTAATGTTAAATTAATATTAGGAATAATAACAAATTAAGATGGAATGTTGCAAACTTATAATTGTGGTGTTGACAGATCAATATCATATTATTTGGAAATCTTGATAATGTTGAGTTTATTTGGAAAAGCACCACTAAATATAGAATTAAATGGTATAACAAATGATTAAACTGATTAATCTGTTGATTCCATAATTAATGCATATATTCCATTGATAAAAAAATTTATTCCTGATTGGGATGTATCACTTAAAGTTACAAGAAGAGGATTTTTAGCAGGAACTGGTACTGTAATGTATTATTAATTTTTTAAATCATTAGTTTACATTCTAAACCAATAAAATAAATTTAATCTACATCTTTAATTGAAAGGGGACCAATTTGTAAAATAAGAGGAGTCTGTTCAGGTAGTAAGGTAGCTCCTAATATTTTGAATAGAGTTGTTAGTTAAAGTAGAAATATATTCAATGATTATATTCCTGATGTTTGGATTCATACTGATTTATAAAAGACATAAAAAGGGATAGAGTTTTAAAGTGGTTATGCTGTTTCATTAATAGCTGAAAGTACTAATGGATTATTTATCTCATGTGATTGTGAATATTCAAATGAGCTTATTAATCCAGAAAAAGTTGGTGAAACTGCTGCGTTAAGATTATTAGATGAAATTAAAAACAGTGGATGTGTTGATACAACATAATAATAATATGCATTATTGTTAATGGCTATTAGTTAAAAAAAAGTCAGTCAAATCAAATTAGGAAGAATTTCAACACATACTATTGAAACTCTTAGGATTATTCGTTCTATTTTCGGTGTCACATTCAATATAGAGGATTCAGTATTTTCTTGTATTGGATGTGGACTTATAAATTTATCTAGATAAACATAATGACATTGTTTATAACCACATTATTGTATATAAAAGAATGCAATTATATTTATTTAAACAATAATGTAAAATAATGAAGGAATCAATGAGTATGATCAATAACATCCCATTGACTACTACAAGGAATCAATAAGATTATACTATTATAATATAGTTCTACATTAACATGTAGATATTGTCTCTTACAATAATCTTAGGTTGAATAAGTCACTCAAGAGAGAAATGAGATCAAACAAAGATTATTGAAGTTTTAGGCTCTTGAGGATTAAGAAAGCGAATTATCAATGGAAGATAAAAGAAAAAGAAACAGAAGATCAGCAATTGAGATACCAAGAAGTCATGTTTGTTAGATAAAAAATTGCAATAAATCTTATGGTTCTGAAGGATCACTTATGTAACATATGAAAATTAAACATGGTATTACATAACATTTAGACAAAATTGGGTAGATTTCAGATCAGTTTAAAAGTAATGAATGAAGCTGATAACTACTCTATATTATAATTTTGTATTTTATTACATATATAATAATATAATTTATGAAATAACAAATGGAATAAAATATAATATAATCAACTACTGTTAAAACAATTAAAGAACTTAAGAAATAATAAGAGTTTAGAACTTCTATTGAAGGAGATGAATTTGAATAAAATGAATCTACTTAAAGCGAAAAAAGAACTCCAGATGCTGAAACTAGCAAGACCCAATATACTAAATTTAGACTTGCTCATAAAGGATCAATCAATTAAATATTACCCAAATTGAGTAACTCTAATTTATAAGAATCTACTAAATCCTTATAAAAATAAATGACTGAAGAGTTACCAAATAAATAATTCGGATAAAGAAAGAGATTTAATAGATATGCAACATAAAAAGTATAACAGCAGCCTTTATAACTTACTGAATAAATTGATCAATCAACTGCTATGAATCTTATTTTAAATAAATCCAAAGTATTAACAGACTATTATACAAATAATCAACTGACATCAACATAAATTCACTTATTTCTTACAGATAACAAATATTTTGTTTTTACCTTTATGGCATTTCTCAATAGATTAGCTGAAAAAGGAATTTTGTCAGTCTCTTTAACTAATATCTAAAAGGCTATTCTATCATAAATTGAACAGTTTACAATAAATTAAATCAATCGAGAATTAACTAAATTAGAATTAAATAAAAAATTGAAAGATCAAATGAAGAAAATTGAAATCAAATAAAATTAATATACTAAATTTCTCTTGGAATTAGAATCATCATTAAAATTTTTTTGAGTTTTATATTTGTATAATCTTTATTAATTATTGTTCTATTTTAATCTCATTAATAATACGTGTATTTAATAATTTGAAAAATTTTTATTTTAGAATCTTATTCTAAGAAAATTATTTCTTTTGTTTATTTATGAAATCAAATCTTATTTGATAATAGAAACAAATTTTATGCTACTATGTATGTTATATAATGCAATTTTTATCTCTGTTAAATAATAATAAAATAGTATTGCAGTCTTAATTTGATAAATTAGATAATAAAAATATTATCTTTCAATGAATTTGGATTAAAAAGTATTTAATAAATTATAAACAAATTTTCTTTACTAAAATTATATGATAAAAAGTTAAATGGGATTCTATGAATTCTGAATTAATTTAAGTGAAATAATATAAAAGTTTTAATTTTGAGATTGCTTTCACCATATAAATGCTGGTGGGATTTTTTAAAATTAATAATAATTTATTTTAATTAATGCAGCCTTCTTAAGAAAAATTGATTGTTGAATTTATGAGTTTAACAGAATGTCAAGATGAATAAAAAGCCTTATAATATCTTTAGATGAGTAACAATAATTTAGAAGTTAATTATATGAATTTATCTTTAGAATGCAGCCCAACTTTATTTTGATTTGGAAGGTTATCAACCAAATTTGAAATCTTAATCAAGTTTTTCCTCACAACAGTCATAATAATAATAATATTAGAATCAAAATTAATAGATATCCTAATAAGATGTTAAAGATGGTATTGATATTCTTAGATATAGTAAATACAATGATTTTCAATCAAAATAATCCACCTCCTGAATTAATACGTTAGTAATCAGCCCCAGATGTAGATTTAGTTGAGAAATATAAAAAATATTAATAGAATAAGAGAGCTAATGATGATGGCATTCTGAAAAAAACTTTAAAGTTAGGTTTGAATGCATTAAAATATATATGTATTTAGAATATTCTTATATTTAAGTTAAACGAGGGCCAAATCATGGTATAGACTTCTAGAGATATCTTTAATAATAATAGATTTAAACAACTATTAATTTTTAAATGGGTAACTTTAGTGATAACTTAAAGAATGCTTATGAAGAGATAAAACCTTTATTAGTATATATACATAATTAAGAATCTTTATTAATATTTTAAAAAATGATAAGTTGTCAGACTTTAGTTTAGATGCTAAATAAACATTATAGAATTGTTGGGTTTCTGGAAAATCCTCAAGTATATGAATAATTACCATTAAAACCTTAACCTCCCACCTTTTTAATCTTCAGATTAGATTTAACTGAGTAAAATGTATTAATGGATACAATAAATTTGACATTTGAAACCAATTATGAAGATTTAGCTGGAAAATTAAAATTATTAAAAGGCTAATTTAATAAACAGCTTATTCTGGAGGATTAAGCTAAAAATTAAGTTGATGTTCAACTATAATATTTACCAAATTATAATGGATAATAATATTAGAGACAATAATAATAAAATGAAAGAAGATAGTTAGATAAATAGCAAAGGGAAAGAGAATTATTAATTTAGTAATAATAAGAAGCTTATAGGATTGCAGAGTAATAAGTTTAAGAAAAAAGAAGAAAAGAATAAGAATTAATGTAAAATGAATAGAATAAATTATTTGAATAACAATAATTAAGTGTATTAAATCAACTAATTATAGGAATAAAGACTATTATAAAAAGCTACAATGTTATCAAACTTACCAGATGAACCATAAGGTGAAGATGGAATTGAAATTCTATTTAGATTTTTAAATGCAAAAAGAACTAGAAGATTTAATTTAAATGATAAAATATAGGTATTGGTCATTTTTATTTATTTTAGTCAATTTTTGATTTTGTATAAAGTTAAGAAGATGATTGTTTTAATGATCCTAATTCAAATATAGATCTAATTTAGAATTTCCCAAGATTGGCATTAAAAGACAAAAAAGAATTAACTATAAGTGATGTATTTACAGACTCAAATATGGTTTAATTAATTGTAGAAGAATATGAATGATTATTAAGTTAAATTTTATTTATTCTACTCAATTATTTATTACATATATTTAAAGCATTGGAATTAATAATAAAAGTAACCTTAAAAAATTAAAACAATTATATTTATCACTTTTATTATAAAAAACTAGGTGAATCGAATTCTGATACTTCATTAACTAAGGATTATGATTACATCATAAGTGTACTGTATTTCATTTTTACTGCTGAATTTAATTCTCCTTCTATTACATCCATTTCTAATTCATTTTTTATTGATTATAAATATTGTAGCTATTATTCTGTCTATTCAATTGTTTAATTTATTTCTTTTAATTTAATTCTTTTAAATTAAACTAATCTATCTAAACTATCCTCTTCAAAATGAATAAAAATTACATCTAAATTGATAAGTCCAATCTTTCTTGCTCTAATAACATTTTAAAAGTTTTCTCTTTCTTATGAACTTGCAAAATAAGCATAATTTAATTATTTACCAACATGTAATCCCAAACAAGTTTAACATTATGTTTCTTCCATATAAAATTAATCTGACATATAAGGAATGATTGAAATAAAATATTGTGGATACTTATGTTAAACAATATTATTTTGACCTAAACTTATATAATAAGTAAAATTGCCATGCAAAGGTGTTTATAAATAATCATTTATTATTCTACCTTTATATGTAAGAAAAGGTGAAGGAGGAATTACTCTATCATTTCTTATTAATTTAAAGGTTGATTGTTATACTACTTTTAAACTCTAAAATAAATATAAATTATAACATTTTCTTGTTCTATCATTTTAGCTCTAAAATCAGAATCATTAGGATTAATGAAATGAGACATTACTTTTATTTCTAAATCTTTAACAATAGCAAAACGAAAAACTTCTGCTATATAGTTTCTTTACTCTTAATATCTTGCTCTATAAATAATGCATTTATTGTTGCTAGTTACAATTATTTCATCCAATTAAAATCCATAAGTCACTTTCTTAATAATCATCTATTTTATTATACTTCTAATTTAACAAAATGGATAATCTTTGTTTGTTCTCCATCATATATTTCACTATAAACATGATCAATAAAGTTGAAAAATAACACTAATTATTTCTTTTTTAGAAAAACTTCAAATGCTATCCAAGGATACAATCTTCGAGCTAAATAAAATTATACAATATACACATCTATTAAAGACTTTATTCAAAAGTAATAGGTTAATAAAGTAAAGATCGTAAACTTAAAACATAAAAGTATTAATCCTTAAATTAAGATCCAAATTATTTGCAACACATTATTTTTTATCTAGTATCTTTTTATGAATATAAAATGATATTGTTTAAATTAAAACTTTTAGGATAGTTGTTTATAGAAAATAATTTTGGATTATATGAATATTCTGGATCGCATATTCTTTTTTCAAGAGTATCATCTTCTTTTGCTTTCTAAATCATTTAACTCAACTGTAAATCTTGCTAAAAAGATAATTTAAAATAGGAGAACAATCCATAAAAATTGAAATTCTCACAATTTTATATAAATGTATAATCCATTTAATAAAATAATACAGCTTAAAATTCTTTTTTCTTAATCATTATTCATTAATAATCACTATTTTTCAGCTGTGCCATCTGATGCTACTTTGTATTCTTGATTTTCTCCATCTAATGTTACAATTTTAACTCCACTAACTTTTCCGTTTTAACAGTTGTCTCTAATAATTTCTAAGTCTTTAATTTATCCTTTAATCTTAATAACTGTCACAGGTGAATTTGTGCATTATTACTTACAGTTATTTAGATTATTAACGTACTCCTTTAATAATTTACACAATTCCTTTTTTGCTAAAGCTCTTTCTTCAGGATCTATATAATAGTTTATAAAATATTATTTTACCTTCTGAATCTAAACCTTTGCATTATTCTTTTAATAATTGAACTTATGCTAATCCAATTTTACTTTTTGTTAAAGGTAATTCTAATTTATGTAATTTCTTCATCAATTTTTTTCCAGAAATTGAGGTTTGAACTTCTAGAAATGAATTTTATTTTGAAGTTAATAGATGTTCAATTGATTTTAATATTTTTATATCATGAGAAATAGCTTTTTAATGTTTTAATAAATCTTCCCATTATTACATTTATTTTTCAATTAATGATATTTAATCTTTTTTTGTACAATCTACACTTTTGACATCAAATTTTGCTAGTTCTTCTAAAGACATCATTTAATCTGTGAATCCATAAACACTCAAACACAAAATTAAGGTTAATAAAAATTTCATTAAAATAATATTAAAAAAAATAAAATATAGTTAATTACAAAAGGGTCACATTCGAAAAGAATCAGTTTAATTTTCATTAATTTATTCAGTTATTTAAATACTCAAGTAATTAGTCTTCATCAAATGTAGTTTATGACCATTTATTGACTTTATCAATTTAAACATCTATTTCTGTATAACATTTTTATGTTAAAATTTGTATTGGCTTAACATTTATTTTTCTATAACTAGAGTATTTTTTTTTATCTTGAATGTCTAATTTTTTACTGCTCAATAAAATTATTTGTTATTATGGAGGATATTTCTCTAAAGGAGTACATGATTATTCTACTGTTCCAAAACTATCAAACTTGTTTAAAATAGATGGTTAAGAAGCTCTTTGAGATTAACAATTTTCTTATTTTTATTAATTATTCTTCTAAGTTTTTTGAACTGACTTTACAAATATTGGAGGTAATGATTTTATTATAAGTGGCTTCTTCAAAACTTAAGATAATGATATTTGCTTGTATTTTCTTTGTAATAACATATTGGGCTTGTTTCTTTCAGATAAAATCATATATTAAAATAAAATTATTTCATTGGTTATTATACTGATTTATTCAAACACTTTAAAAAGAACTAATTATGATCCCAATAACTCGAAATTTCACCTTTAATTATATATCATTGTATAAACAACTTGAATTATAATCATGAATGTTATATTAGTTTTCAATAAAATTTATATAAATATGTATTATAATAAACAATCTATTCTTAAAAGATCTTTATTACTATTATTCATTACATTATCATTTTTAATTTTATATTAATCTTTTGGATTGGTTTCTATATATTTTTTATATTTAAAATATTTATTATTATATAAACTGGCTAAATTTATTCAAATTATTAAAAATCCTTTATTTATTCTGCATATACATTCTTTTTTTGTTTATTCATTCTAAAAATTTGGAGAAGTTAAATTAAATAAAATATTATGATAGAAAAGAAAAACTAAAAAACACAAGATAAAAAGAATCAGAATTATTTAAATGTCTCTTTGATGAATTAAAGCTAGGAAATTATTAATCATTCTCAATAACTTAAATTTTAAGATTCCCATCAAGATTCAAATGGATTATCTAATTAATTAAAACTCAATCAGATCAAATCATTCATAGATAAAGATATATAATAAATTAGAGAGCATTTAATTTACATAATTGAAAGAAGGGTTGTTTTTCCTCAAATTCTATCATTTATAATTATATAGAAAGATCAAATTTCAATTAATTATTGTGATGCCTTAGCAAAGTAATTAAATAAAATTTTTAATAAATTGAAAAAAGATGTTAGTTCTAATTAAGAAATTATTTCTAATTCTGATAATAATAAATTAGATAATGATGAAAAAATCATATTAAAATTACTCTAATATTTTACTAATAAATTAGCTGATGTTGGAATGAAAAGATTTAATTTGCATCACTTAGATTTACAAAATATTAAAATCTAATATAATCTATGTAGATAAATAAAAAACAAGGTAATTTAAAACTCAAAAGTTTTAAAGCTTATTATACAATAAGTAAAAATTGTTCATTCGGATTTATTAGCCTTAGAAGCAAATTAATAATAAATTAGCTCAGATGAATCTTAAGTTGAATTGAATCGATAATAACTTTATATTGAAGAGTCACATGAATAATTAACAAGATTTGATTAAAATAAAGATAAAATTTCATTGAAAAATAAATAAGTTCAATTAGATTAAAGCTTTTATGAAGAAAAAGATCAATCTGAAAAAGAGTTTATAATAAAAGTTTTAATGTTAAAATTAGTAGACTTTTAAATAGTTGTTCCATATTTACTTAAATAAATAAAATTTTTGTATTTTAGTAAGCAACATAAAATACCAGACAAAAGAGGAATTTTAATAATATTCCCCTCTGAATAAATAATATAATAATTATTCAAGATTCCAGAATTGTCTAAATTTGCTTAATAATTGAATCCTTCTTCATTAGAGAAATTTTATCTTGAATATCCTAACTATTTAAAAGTAGATTTACATGACGTTTTAATCTCCTATTTGTAATTGATAATTAATAATTACTTTAAATATAAGGAAGAATTAATTTTAATATATAGAGATGAATAATTTAAGATGATTTTGAAGCAAATTTGGTCATTGTGTGGTGAAAATATTAAATAAATATTGTGTAGTAAAATTAATCCTATAGAGTAATTTAAGAACTTTGGAAGTAATATATTATAAATTGGTACTTATTTATTTTAAATAAAATCTTTATTGAAATAAAATATTGATCAATTAGAACAATTTAATATTAATGAGGATATTTAAAAATTTCAATAAATTTAAAAACTCAAAAAGACTTCTGATAAGGTGTCTACAAATACTAAACCAATTTTTAAATAATTCATTCAAAAAATGACTATGCTCAATAAATCCTTTCCATTATTGCTAAAACTTTTACATTTGACAAATTTTACAATTAAAGTTATTCCTAGAAAAAGAGTGATGGAAGCTATTGTTTAATAAAATTAATTTATTAAATTTATGAAGATATGTTATAATTATCCTTTAGAAATTGAAACAATTGCCGATAGAGTTTAAACTATTTTTTTCAGTGACAAATTTTAAATTTAAGAAACTCATCATGTTACTTGGCCACAATTAATTTTAATGGCTCTTGAACTGATTTATTAATAAAGAGAGTAAAATAAGTAATTAATTTATGAAGCAATTCAAACTAAATAATATTAAATTATATTAAGAGAACTAGAAACTATAGAAGATCCTCTAGAACTTCGTTAAAAGACAAAAGAGTTATTATTTTTGCTTAATGATTATGTACAGTAATTAAAAAATGAATAATGATTTTGTTTTTTTTATTATTATGTAATTAATTTATTTAGATATGATACTTATGAATCAATTAAAAATTTAATTAGTAAATATTTATGTAGAAAGAATTAAAATTTTAGAATAAACTACTAAAAAATATTCAATAATAATCATAATAAAAATATCAATAACAGACTAACACTTTAAATTAAATGTAATTTTAAAATAATTCTATAAATGATAATTAGAGAAAAAATGAATAAGAAAGAGATTAAGAAATTATTTATATTCCAAAGTAAAATTTAGGAAATCAATTAAAATAATAATAAATTTCAAATATTAAATCCTAATTAAAATAGATTATTATATCCAAAATACCTTTTGCTTATCTTTTAGCCACCATTAAAATAACAGAAAGAAAAGCTTAGATCAATTACAAAAAAAAAATTAGTAACATGCTGAATATTAGTTTTAACCCAATAGATGATGAAGATTTTAATCAATATTTTAATTTTCTTAGAAGAGTATAGTAAAAAATAGATCTATAAAAATAAATGATTTTACCCAATCTATTAATCAGATTTTTTTAAAGATTTATAAGCATCTCAAAATTCTTAAGATTCATTTTTTATTGAATTGCAAAATGATTTAATTTCAGATAAAAAGTAAATTGATTTTGAAAAATCAAGAGAACCAAAATAGAATATATTATTAGATAAAAATAAGATATAGTTGTTATCTAATTAAAATATTTTATAAACTTAGGAGTTCAATCGAGTTGAAAAATGGAAGACTTTATCATTTAAATTTTAATTTTAAAATTGAATGAATTATCTATACCATTTCCAGAATTATTGAAAAAATAAAATTGACTTATAAAAGCAAAGATTTTGCAGTATTAGATTAAAAAGGAATGTTTAACAATTTATCCAGATTTTGAAGTAATTAAATAAATTTGTTATCTATCTTAAATGTGAAAATTTTCATAAGAGTTATAATTATCAATTTTATCATAATTTGTTTTTAAAAAATCAAATAGGTAGTGATTTAAAATATTAACATTATCAAAATAAATTTATATTTAATGCAATGTAAGATATGATAAATGTTATTAAAAATGAATAATCTGATTGCTATGAAGAACTAATAAAAATTTATCAAGATCAAAAATTTAATTTATTTTTGTAATCAATTCGGAATATATGCGAAAATTTAAATACTTTAATGCTTAAATTACTTCACTTTTTTAATTTTAATATAATAATAGCTAATCAAAATTTTGTTAGAAAAATTGCTAAAATAAAATTGTTTATTGAATTTATGAAAAACAACTTTAATTATGATATTGAATAGTAAAAAGCCATCTGATAGAGTTTAATTAATGTTTTTTACTAATAAATTTATTATTGAACCAGAATCATCAGAGATATGGCCTAAAATCAGAATTAAGTGCAATATAAGAATAGTAAGATTTAAAGGCAAAAATTAAAGAACTATTAATTCGCATTTTTTGATTATATTGTTTAAAACTAAAATTTTATTTGTTTAAGAATAAAACTTGATCAGTTTTGAATTATAATTTTTATAAATTAATGATAAGTAAAATCAATAAATAAAATTTCTTACAATAGAAAAGAGAAGAGAAGTAATTTAGAGAGTTTGAGAGAAAAAAAATTGAAATGGCATCCAAAATTTACATATTTTATAAAAATGTTAAAATTTGCAATGAATTAAATCAATCAATGATTAAATTGTACCTACCAAAAATATAAACTGCTTTATCAGTTCAATTTATGAAAGAATAAGTACAGATATTTAATATAATAGCAAACATTTTACAAAGTCTGTAATATAACATTAAATAAATGTCCAGAATTTTTAAAACCATTTCTTCTTTTAAATATAAAGAATGCTTAAAACAATGAAACCTATATTTTAAACATGATATAACTTTTTAGTGGATGCTTGCAAATTTAATAAAACAACTTTATTATTAATTTATTTAAGGGAAACCAATTTTTAATTAATAGATTGCATGTAATAATAATTTATATTATTTTTAGTTTTTCAAGGCTATTTACCTTGGACTAACTTTAATTAAAACATCTAAAGAAGCTAATACTTTTATAAAACATTTGAATGATATTTTTATTTCTCTTCATTTATTATTAAATAATAATTAGTTAGGTAAAGGCTATTATTTATTTTAGATTTATTTTATAGCAAAATGTAAAGATTAGATCCTTAGATCTTAAATAATTGTTTGCCTTTACTTATACAAATGTAAGGATTTGAAATTTTCTTATTTTACTATTTAAATTTAAAATAAAATGAATAAACAGCATGGAATTTAGGATTTAATTATGTGTTTATGATAGAATAAAAAAATAATTAATTTGATTTTAGTCAATTAATGAATCATATCGTTAATTCTACTCAGTACAAGCATTTAATTTCAATTATTTTAACATCGGAATAAGAACTATAATAAATAAGAAAGTTATTTGAGAAATTACAGACTTTGAAAATTCATAATAGCGATTTAATATTTATAATTATGACGTAATTATTGCAAGTACTAGAAAACAATTTTTATCGAATGAATCTTCCATAAGATTTAAAAAATTTATAGTTTTAAAATAATTCAGAACAAAAACTTTTGAAAATATTAAGGAAAAAAAAAGAATTTTAATAATTTACAGAATAAATTAATTTTAGAAAACTTATAGATTTATTAGAAAATTAATAAATAACAAATCTTTGTTCAATAAGCAAATTTATATATTATTTGATAAAAATTGGATAAAACAGAAAGTTAGAAATAGTATAATAAATTCAGAAATTAAGATTTATAGATAATGAATTTTCAACATATATGCTTAATTTATCAAAAATAAATTAATTGGATATGATTCCAGTTGAAGCTATATCAGTTTATTGTTATTTTAAAGCTCATGAATTTTAATTATTGGACGATAAGGAGTTTAAAAGTATAGTACTTGAGAATTAAAAAGCAAAACAGATTTTTATTGAGATTTTTGAATTTATTTTTGAATATACAAAATTTTGTATATCTAAAAATATAAATTAGAACATTTATAAGGAACTAAAATTATTTATTAGAGAAGTATTTGATAGAAATTAAGTTTTACATTTTTACTAATGGAAATATGAAAATATGAAAATAAATAGTCATTTACCAATATTGTCTTTATTTTCATAAAGAATTGAAAAATTTAATTAGTATTTGGAAGAGGATAAAAAGTTGTTTTAAAGGAATTTATTAGAAATGTTTACATTAGACCAGTTTGGCCAGCCAATAGTAAATTAAAATATGATGGTAATTATAAGAAGAGGAGAAGAATTTTAAGATGCATTTGAGTAATTGGAGAATAAATAAATGAAGAATATTTTTAAGGTAAAATTTGTAAATTAAATGGGAATACCAGAAGATGGAATTGATGCAGGAGGAGTGACAAAAGAATTTATAACAAGAGTAATAAATTAGGCATTGGATCCTACTTATGGATTATTTATTGAGACTCCTGAAAAGACCATGATTCCTAATCCTGCTTTTATTTAAGATGAAAAATAGTAATAATCATATAATATATAGAAAATATGCTTTTATTGGAAAAATAATAGGCAAGGCTATATATGAAGGAGTATTAATAGAGAAAGTTTTAAATTAAGTTTTTCTAAATTAAGTTTTAGGAATAACGAACACAATAAATGATTTTCGATTTTATGATTCAGAGTAATATCATAGAATATGCAATTTAAAGAATTAAGATGTAAATGATTTTGGATTGACATTTTCAATAACCTAAGAATTTTATGGTTAAATAGTGGAATTTGATTTAATTCCTAATGGGAGATCTATAAATGTGACAAATGAAAATAAAATATAATACATAAATTTGTATTGCCATTTTAGATTAAATAAATAGGTATGGAATATTAAAATATAAAAAAAGATAAAAGAACAAAGTTAAATATTTAGAGGTGGACTAGAATAAATGATAGACCCTGAGAAGTTGAAATTATTTACCAATTAAGAATTATAATTGTTGATTTCAGGATAACCAGTTATTGATATCTAGGATTTGATTATGAATACACAATTCAAGGGATATAAGCCATATGATAAAACAATTCAAGATCTATGGAGTGTTTTAAATGAATTAGAATATGAATAGTAGAGTTAGTTTTTATTTTTCTTTTCTTCATGTTCTAGAGCACCAACTTAGGTATTTGAATTAATAGAAAAAATAGGGATTTAAAAGTTTAGATCCTCCTTTTATGATTTAAAAAGTTCCAATTTTACATGCAAATGAAAGATAGAAATTACCTACATCATCAACTTGTTTCAATATACTAAAATTACCAGATTATTAAAATAGATAAATACTAAAGGAGAAATTAATTAAAGCTATTAGTTCAAATACAGGATTTGAATTAACATGAATTATATTTTTATTGTTCTAATATAAATAAATAATAATTATTTATGTAATAGTAACTTCTAAATCCTATACCAAATATCAACGAAAAATACATGATTACGTAAATATTCATTCTACTTAATCAGTATTAATGGAAATGAAATTTTACCAAGTAGTGGTAGAAAATCTTCTTAGTATGAAGAAAGAGCTTCAGAATAAAGAAGAAGAGAAGATCAAAAATTAGAGATATCTCATTATAGAGATTTATGTGAATAATTGAATAAAGAGAATTTGCTACTTAAATCATTCTAAATAGAAAATAATGAATTAAAACAAAAATAATTACTTATGAATGTTGAACTATCTGCTGCTTAATAGGAACTCTAAAGAATTAGAAACCAGTTTGGATCTTAATAATCAACTGATAAATAAGTATAAAAAATTCAACAAGGTATTTTATTACAGTCATTTTATAGATAATTTAAATTTGTAATAGTAAATTAGTGAATTAAACAAATAAAAACAAAATTTAGAGGCAGAACTTAAATTATTTAAAGAAAATCGTTTAACTTAAACTATCGAAATACCAGAAATGAATGCATCGTTATATTAAAAAAAAATAAAAGAAATGGAAGAAGATATTTAAATATTAATAGATGATTATAATAGCAGTTAAGAAAAATTGGAAAAAGCTTTGAATGAATAAAAGTAGCAATTTAAAAATGATATTGATTAATTAAAAAGTTAAAATTAATTGTTGAATGCTGAAATCACAGGATGGCAATAAAGGTATAACAATTTAGAAATAATGAAGAATGAATTAGCCAATAAATTAATTATTCTAGAAAAAGAAAATTAATAATTAGCCTATAAAAGTAGAATTGAAGTATCATAGAATAATTTAGATATTGTTTCTTAATTAAAAGATTAGATTCAATAATAAACTAAATAGATTAACAGTTTATAAGTTGAATTATAATTGAAACAACAAAACGAATCTTAATTGTTATATGAATTACAAAATTTTAAATAAAATTAATAATAAATACAAAACTAAAATTTGAATGTACAAAAAATTGAAAATCAATAGTCTAAAAATGAAATCTATAAATTGAAATAGTAGATTGAATAATTACAATTAGAACTTTAAGAAAATGAATACCAAAACAAAAAAAAATAAAATCTAAAAGAAGAATAATTAAAATAATAGATTAATTCATATTTGGAAGAAATAGAAAGACTAAAAGATGAATTATTATTATAGAATGAGTAGCATAATCAATATTTAAAAGATTAAGAAAATCGTTTTTAAATAGAACTTAAAAGTGTAAATGAAAAATATATTTCATTATAAAATGAAATGAATTGTAAAACTTAATCATATGAAGAAAGTAGAATTAAATTTTAAACACAATTATAAGTAAACAATTATGAAGCATCAACAGATAAATTAAAACGAGAAATTCGATAATATGAATAATAAATAAAAGAGCATGATATATAAACTAAACTTTGGTAAGATAAATTTTATGAATAACAAAATTAAAATGAAGATTTAAGATATAAATATCAAGAACTTCGAAATTAAATCAGTTAGTATTTAAGTTATAAAACTCAGAATGAATATGATTAAAAGACAATTTAAAATTTAGAAGCTTTGGTAGAAGAATAATAGAATATAATGCATTCATTGTATTAAAAAGAATTACATTATAAAGAAACCATAACTAAATATGTCTAAAAAATTGAAGAATTATAATATTCAAATAATGTGGAATATGTAGATTAGATATAGTAGTTGTAATTTTAAATTGATCAATTGTCAATAAAAATTAAAGAATAAGATGCTCAATTAAATCTTAAATCCACATAATGTCATGTTTTAGAAACTTAGATTGAAAATGAGAAATTGAAATTTTCAGAAAGAGAAACAAAAATTTCACAATAATAAAAATAAGATTAAAAATAAATTTAGTAATTATAATAACAATTAGAGAATTTTTAAAAAGATTATGCTCTGTTAAATTAGAAAAAAAATGAAGTCATTAAAGAATATATTTAAGTTGAAAATTAATAAGATAAAAATCGAATTGTTTAGTTAGAGTAATCCTTGTAAAATTTATAGTAAGATTATCTTATTGTGAATTAATAATATATAAGTCTACAGCAACAATATGATACTTAAATTATTTAATAAGAACATAATAAAGGATTGGAAGAAGATAAAATAAAAATAAAATAACTTGAAGAATAATTAAGAATTCTAAAATAATAATACTTTGAGTTGAATACATTGAAATAATAAGTTTTAAAAGAGGTTGTTAAAGAAGTTATTGAAGTTCCATCACCAAATGATTAAATAATAATTAAATAATTGAGATAGGAATTATAATAATTATAATCTGAATATAGAGTATTAAATAACCAAAAATAAATTTACATTGAAATCTAATCAGATGTAGATAAAAATAGAATCAAAGAATTGGAAAAATAATTAATAGTTTTAAGATAAGATTATGATGAAGTTTGTGATAAGAAATAATCTATAATAAAAGAGTATGTGGAAATTTCTTCAAAATAAGATTTATTAAGAATTCAATAATTGGAAAAAATGGTTCAATAATTATAAGAGGAAAATTTTAATTAGTAAATTTAAATTTAAGAATAAATTTAGAAATAAATTATAATTAATTAAGATTTAGAATAAGTTCAAGAACTTTAATTATAAATATAAATATTGAAGGAGGAGAATAAAAAATTATAAGTTTAATTAAAGTAATAGAATGATTCTTTGAAATAATCATCAAGCTCTGATTTTTTAAAAATTTAATAATTAGAATAAAAGATAAGAATTTTAGAATAGAATAATTTAGATTTATAAAAATAGCAATCTTAAGTAAAGATTATTAAAGAAACTATTGAAGTTAGTAAAGATGAAGATACATTTAAAATTTAATAATTAGAATTATAATTATAGTTAAAAACAGATGATCTTTAGTATTTGGAAAAGCAATTAAATTTATAAAAGAAAAATGTAGAAGAATTAATATCTGCAAATGAAAAAATGAAATATGAAAATACTAAAATGAGATCATAATTATATGAATTATAATCAACAGTTGATGATCTATAATTTAAGGTTAAAGAAAGTAATAAGTCTTAAGAAGAAATAAAACAATATAAATAAATGATTGATTAATATGAAAAGAATGATAAAATGAAAAATGATTCATAAAAAGTGATAAATGAATTAAAAAGCAAATTAAATGAATCTGAAAATGAAATTAAAAGATAATGGGGAGAATTTGAATTAAGTAAGTAAGATTATGAGTTTAAACTTAAAAGTTAATAAACTAAATTTAATCAATAAATATAGTAATTATAATAAGAATTATAATTTAAGGTGCAATCAAGTGAATAGGAAAATATAATATGTAAAAATACTTGTAAATAAATGTAAATATAAAATGATGAAATGGCAAGAGAAATTAAAAGATTATCAGATTTGATAAAAAAAAAAAATGATGAAATTAAAAAACTTACTGATAGTTTACAAACGTAAAATGTAAAATTAGAATAATATTAATATAATTTTAAAGATAACTAAACATAAATGTAAGATAATGCTATTTTACAAGAAAAAATGGCTTAATTAATGTAACATTGCAATAAATTAGAAAATGCTTTGAAGTAATTTGAGGAAGAAAAGAAAATTGAAAATAAAGAGCTTCATGAATAGTTTAATAAAAAAATAATGGAAATTTAAGAAATTATAAATAAAAAAGATAATGAAATTTAATAGTTAACTAATTATATTTAAAAATATTAGGAACAAATGTAGAATCTTGAAATGAATAAATTTAATTAAATATAAGAACATAAGTAACAATTAAATTAATTTAGTAATTCATAATTTTTAATTGAGTTATAAAATCAATTAAGTATAGTAAAATAAGAATTGTTAAGGTAAACTACTTTGAAAGAAGAATATTAAAATAAAAACAATGAACTGTTAATTAGAGTATAATTATAAATTATATTTTTAGATTGCAGAATATGAATAAGGAAATAGAATTTCTGTTAAACCTGATTACTAATTAACAGAAAGATTGTAAGGTGCAGGTAGTTTTAGAAATCTAGGAAATGTTGATTACAATTTAAATGACTCTTCATTTTAAAAAGCAAGTTAAATGAGGATAAGAGATTCCGCAAGTTTATATAATCCTAAGCCAAATTTTAATCCTTTAAACTCTTCAGTAAAAATTTAAAATAGAGTAGATAATAAAATAAAAAGTATTTACTTAAAAAAAGAGTTAATTATATTGAAGGGAATTTGTTTAATAATAATAAAAATCTATTTGATAAAATTTAAATTACAAAGAGTTAATTTCAGAAAACATCTTCATACAAAAGTAACATTTATATTTAATGTTCTTGTTCGTAATGATCAATCTTATTTAAGGTTCTTTTTAATTTGTTTTCTTATGTCCTAATTTTAGATCTATAATTTATATAGTATATAATTACAGTTTATCATTGGCTTCTTCTAAACTCAATTTAACTAGTAAATCTAATCTTTCTAAGTTGGATAATTAACTTTTAAGTTTTTATGCTAAAGTTTAATTTTTAACTTCTTTCTTTTCTAAATTGTTAAGAAATTGTTAAACTTTTTCACAATTTTTTCCATCGGCTTCAGATTCTTTTAATACCATTTTAGGTACAATTAAACCAGGCATTGAAAGTATAGTATTCCAATTAATACCTTCAAAAAAAGGATGATTTTTAATTTCATTAATATCTTAATGTCCAATTCTTTTAGTATAATCTGGTTCCATTAATTGACACATAAGATCATAAGCATTATGAGATATACTTTCTTCTTCAATATCACTTACATTTGGCCATTCAATTCTATAGTTTAAAATATTATCAAAAATCTTTTCAACAGAATCATCATTAAATGGTGGAATACCACATAGCATTTCATACATTATTACTCCTAAACTCCAATAATCTAAACTGCTATTAGTTAAGGATTCCCCTTTTAAAACTTCTGGAGCTATATAATCTGGAGTTCCAACAATTCTTTTATTTTTACTACTATAATTTTATATGCTTGCTCTAATAACTGGTTATACTTAAGCTAATTTTAAATCAAAAACAGTATCATATTATGGGTCGTTATGATCAGCAAATTCAGGTATAGTATTTCTTAAAATAAATGAATAATCTTACGATTCAATATCTTATTATCTCAATTTTAATTTCAATCTATTATTAAAACCAACTTCTGATAATCCAAAATCAGCCAATTTAGCATGACCTTATTTATCTAATAGAATATTATCTGGTTTTAAATCTCTATGAACAATATTTTTTGATCTTAAATATTCTAAAGCCAAAACTACTTCCGCAATATAATGTCTTACATATTCCTCATCTAGAGCCTAAAAATAATAATAATATATACCGTATACATTTTGAGTATGTGAGAAAAATCTCCTCCTACCATATATTCTTAAACAAAACATAAATTTTATTCATGACTAAATGAATAGTATGCTTTAACTACAAAATCACCAGATAATATTTCAAAAATGTTTCTTTCAGCTTTTAAAGTATCTAATTAAGTTTCCAATTACTTTTAATAATTAAAAAAAAATTTACTTTTTATGAACAGTCAATAATTTTCATAGCATAAAGATCCCCTGAAGTTTTCTTTTTAACTAAAAACACCCATCCAAAAGCTCCTTATCCAAGGGGTTTAATAAATTCAAAATCTTTAAGGCCTATTTCTTAAGATTAATTCGTTTTTTCAGCATTAATACTAACTAATTCAGAATCTGAATTATAACCTCTGTCAACTGTAATGACTTCAAAATCATAAGATTATTTAGTTTTTTAAGTATCAATAGCCATGCTTTATTTCATATTACTATTTCTAGAATTTTATGGATAAAATAAACTCTTTCTTGGTTTTATTAAAGATTAATCAAATTCAATTTCATCCTATTATTAATTATTTTATTTTTAACTGGAGGATGAACTTTTAGGACTCTAAGCTTAATTTTGTATTTTTTATGGTGAAGTTGAATTAGGTGATTCTTCTATGATTTACTCTGTTTCTATTCTTGCACCTAATTCAATATGCAATGGTTTCTATTATTCTTATTAATTAATATTTATATGCATTTTTCTACTACCTTTCATCATCATATTTCTGCCACTATTTTTCAGACTATTTTATGATGATTGTTTCATCTCTTAATTAGAGTCATTTTTAGAAATCTAAATTTAATTTATTTCTTAATCAGATTCGCAACATTTAATATTTTCAAGTGAATTTGAAGCAATTGGTTCTTTATCTTTTTATATTTCTTCAATTGAATCTACTTGTCTACCAAGACCTATAGATGGAACTTATTATTTTTTAATAGGAATTTCTAAATCTGAATCACATTATGCAAAATCAGCAAAAGAGCAAATCTTTTAATTTCTAGGAGTCTCATCTTAAAAGTCAGAAGATCCTACCCTTCCTGTAGGGGATTAATTAGAAGATTCAATGACTGTATCAACAGCTGTAGGAGATTAAGCCCTTCGAAATATAGAAGGCTTATTAGATTTAGGGCTGATTAATGTATCTGAAGAATTAGATAGATTAACTATCCTATCTAATATTTTAGAATCTGGATTAGATTATTATTATGGATGTTCTTCAGAATTATTTTTAGATAAAAATGTTCTTTTTATTTAATTATTACCAAGCACCTAAGATCTAGACATAGTCATAGTTGTTAAACTATCTCTTCTATTAATTTCATTAAAACTTCCAACATTGTTTGTATTAAATTTATCTTTACTAATAATCATTATTATTATTTACTTAATTAAAGACATTATCATAACATTCTTTTTATTCTTGCTGTTGTTTGTATTTTTTGGTGTTTAACAAACAAAATCATCGTCTTCTTCATATATTGTATCATTTCTTTTTAGTTTTGATTAACTTGTTGTTGTAACATTATTAAATTTAGAAACCCTAAATGAACTTGAATTTGAATTCTTATATTTTTATTTTAAATCAATCTCAGTTTTATGTTAAATCTTTTAACTTTCTTATATTTGTTATGATTCTAAATTTTAAATTATTTTAAAGTATTCCATTCTATCATACATACAAGATCGAGCTTTATCAATTATTTAAAGTACTTCCTCATTTTTTTCGTCATTTTCTAAATTACATTTAGCTTCTGTTAATTCATCAAATGTAATTCGATTTACTAAAATAATATATTAAATATACACTTATTATCTTCATTATTTGTATTACTATTTAAAACCTTTTCAGTATAATTTACAATAGTTGTCATTACCTAATTTATAAAAGCCAATTATTTCTTAGCTTTATTCTTTTCTTCTTCTTCTTATAAAAGTTTGTTGTCTTCTAAATGAATAGTATGAGTTCTTCGAAGTGATCTTAAGGGTTTTTTTTCTTCTTCTTATTTTTTCAATTTTTATCTATTTTACTTTTATTCTTATAAACTCAATTTACCCAATTTAATTTAAACATCATGTTTTAATTTATATGCTGATTAAGAAGCATCCGCTAATTATAAATTAAGTTATAATAATTTTTTGCTTTATTCTGCTTTTTTCTCACATGTAATACAATGAGCTGCCATTATCTCTACTTCTATTAGTTACTCACAGATTCGACACACTATTTTATTATGCTTTTCTAAATCTAATTCTTTTAATTTACTTTGTATTAGTCTATTTTAATTAATTAATGATTATTTTATTATACGTTTTAGTTTCTACAAATACACGCTTACTACGTAATGCTGTACTTTGTTCTGGTTAATGTTCATCCAACCAAAACAACACAAACTGAGCATACACATTTCTTATTACTGAAAGTACTCTTTTCTAGATTCTACAATCATTATTATTAATAGTATACTTTTAAAGTTAATTTGCAATTTTTAAATTCCTAGAGCTACCCTTTTTAAATCCTTTTAGATAATCTTAACTTGTCTGCTTTTTTAATGTCTCCATATTTGCTAAAACACAACCTAATTAATCTTAATCAAACGAATTTATTGTCGATCTTAATGTATTACGTAATTCATTTAAATAAGTCAATGAAGGTGTACCAAACTAAAATTTCTTATATTTATTATACCTATCCTGAAATCAGCAATTCAATTATAAAATTTATCTAATCCATAATAAGTTCAGCATCTTTTCTACTCTATATCGCATATTTTAAACGATGAACTTATTTTACAATATAATTCAATGGAGGTTTTGGAATTGTGAATTCTAATTTTGTTGCTTTGACCTATAATGAGTGGAATTATATTTTATTCATTAATTTATATAAATTTATCTAATTAAAATCAATTAGGTAAATTCACTGCTCAAAACTTTACTTTTTCTATCTACTCATTCATCTTTCTATTCTATTTTACTTTATATCATTCATCAATATTATGAAATTTATAATATCTTATCGTAATACTTAATGCTTCTTAATAAGATACTCTATTTTAAAGTAAATTATTTTAGACAATTAATAACAAATACTAATTAAATATCATAAAATATAATTACTAATTTGAATCCAAAAAAATAAACTTATATAAACATAAAAATTTATATCTAAGTATTCAAATTAAAATGGATAGATATAATTGTAAATTTATTACTAGATTCTCAATAAATATAACTTTTCAATTATCTAATATCTAATCAAATCATGAAAATATAATTAAGCTGAATACTATACTTTTTGAAGAAACTTTATTCTATTTCTTTTAAATTTAACCATCATTAGAATAATAAGATAAATGTTTGTCTAATGATTTCAAAGAAGCAAAATTTTTTTTAATGGATAAGACATATTTTAAATTTTCTAAAAATTAATTTTAACTAAAATTTACATCTAAAAAACTATTTATTTTTTTTGCGAAATATATCATTTGATTTTTGAAGATTTAAAGAAAAAATCTTTTTTTTCTAATGAAAGTAGAAAAAATTAGCTTGATAAGTTTGATTCTTTGAATACAATTATCTCATATTATTATTGAATTAAGCCAGCCAATATGAACAATAATCATTCTTAAATTAAGAATGAAGATGAATTTATTTTCTATTTTTGAAATATTGGAATCAATTCTAAATTGAAATCTTCTTAGAAAATATCTAACTAAAATAATTAGAATAAAAAAAAAAAGAATAAGATCGATTTGAAAAGGCTTTTCTAAACATTTTAAACATAATAATATGAAATCAACGTTTTGTAAATTTTTTGATTATTTCTTCAGCATCTTCATCATCACTAAGTAAGCTATCAATTTCTGAAATTTTATCAGAATCTAATTTTGAATCCGAAATATCATCATCGTCATCATCATCATCATCATCTTCATCTTCATCTTCATTGTTACCTTCATCTGAATGTTGCTTCTTTAATTTATTTTTGGTGTTTTTTTCATAATTATTTGTTTATTATGGATTATTTTCATCCAACGAATCAGCACTAAACTAAGATTTATTATCATTATTTCCTTATTCTTTTAAGATTTCTATTTTTAGATGAAATTATTTACCTTCTACATTTCTTCCAGATCCCTCATCACCACTTGAATTATCATCGAATTTATTTTCTGGTTAATCTTTTGTGAGTTTCTTTTATTTCAATTCAGCCAACCATTTGTGATATACATCAATAGGTTCATCTAATCCTTTAATTTTAGTTGAAAAAGACACTTAACATTTATCACAATTTAACTCTGCAATCTTAATTACTTTTTTACTATTTCTTTTTATTATTTTTACATTTTAACAATTACACAATTTTTGTAACCACAAAGTGCACAATCAAATATTGTTTTTATTGTTTAGATTTTTTCTTTTTTTGGCATTCTATTTGATTTTCTTCTTCCTCCCATGTATTTGGAAATTTAATAAAATAATAATTAAAATATTAGTAATGTGTAATTTTATATACATAAACAATATATCACTTTTAATCAATAAAAGATAATATAAATTCTTAAGTTACTTTCATCAAAACTTTCAAATTATTAAATTATATTTTCTCATTCAATTAGTTTTCATCATATAGATTTCTTTATTAATCTGCATAAGATTCATAAACTTTTAATTTATTAGAAATTAATTGATCTACATTATTTTATTCTTACTAGAATTCATCATATTAATTTTATTATAATTAAGCTAGTTCTTCTAATTTAATTCTAAACATTTCATTAAATTTTTCTTCCAATTATAATTTAACTAAATAAATTTTCATTATTATTTGAGTATTTAGATGAGAAATTTCTATAGACTTTATCTCTATTCTTATGACAGTTTAGCAATAAGCTTAAATTTTATAACTTTTTCTTATAATTTTTTATTCTATTCTATTAGAACTTCTTCTTAAGTTGCTAATTATTCTGGATCTTAATCTCTTAGTAAATTTTATAATTCTATTGCTTCGAGATTGATTATTAATTATTTTTTGGATTCCTTCATTTATTTAAATTCTTTAATTAGTTTATTAAATTCATTTATGTTAAATATTAAAATCAATTAAAAAATCAGATTGATAATAATTCAAATGTTATAAGATCTAATTTAAATTATTGCTTCAAAGAACATTATTTACATTAATAATATAAATTTTATCTTTTTCGATCTACTATTTTTAGATATTTGTTTGATATATTATTTCTATTTGATGTTCAAAGAAGGTGATTATTTATTTAATCTATTTTATCTCATTAATTTGATTTATAATGAAAATTATTACTGATATA